GAGGTACAGTCGAACTTTCCGCAGGCGACCACCTCAAAATGCGAAGAGTTAGTGGTCGCTTACGCGAGGTGGTCGCTTACGAGAGCCTTACTGCACAAGGTCTTTTACGAGGAGAAGTGTGGACAAACCTACTTTTTGGAGAGAATCATTTGCATGCAGTTTCTTTGTTTTAACATAGGTAAATCCGTGTTGTTTCTTAAAGTTCTTCTCATACTTTGAGTAGCGTATTACATACAGCGAACATAGAGAGCAGACCATTGTATCAAGTGGTCGCTGAGAAGAGGTTAAAAACAATGGCAATTCTAAAACCGTCATCCTAAAAAGTGGTCGCGGTCGCTTACGATAGGTGGTCGTTTACTGTAGGATTCAACTACAACAAAGCTTTGAGTGGGAAAATATTTGGTGTTTTGGATAAGTGGCCGCTTATGTGAGGTGGTCGTATACGAGAGGTGGTCGCACATGGAGGTTCGACCGTAGTTTTTTCAGCAAAAACAAAAAAAAGTTTGGCAGTAACGTTTTCAAAAATCCAGCCAGATATCAGTTGCGACTAAGTGGTGTGTTGTCTATCATTCTAGATCAAATTGGGATTTGACAATCAATGAATTTTTTTTTTACGAGAGGGGAAACCCGGAGTACCTGGAGAAGAACCTGTTGGAGCAAGGGCCGTAACCGGTACTAGAGACTCAGAAGAACCAACAAAAAACTCACCCCAGATGAGGCGTCGCCGAACCGCTTTCACTAATGTTCCACTGCCCTCGCTAAATTTAATTTACTCCTTTGTTAGATTTAAATTTGAACTGCTAGTAATTTGGATACGTATATGACTCGTCAACCATGCTAGTAACTTTACAGCGTGATTTGTGTTTTATTAATGAGGTAAAAGGCTTTTTCAGATCAGTAAATGTAGCACCACCATGCAAGGATGCTTTGCCATGATTGCTGTAGCTTTGCCGGCCCGCCCTTGCAGCTACATCGCCAAAGTTTTTCCCGAACTCGCACAAGTGAGCCTCTGATCTGCTATATCTAACATGTATGATCTGTCACCAGACGGTCTGAACCAAAGGAATGAACATTGAACTGTTTCTATTTTTATTGTATAATCATTTACCTGTATATTATTCTATCTAGTATTTATAATTGTAGTTAATTATTAACCATTTATGTAAATTTTAAATTCAAATTTTGGGAGCTGTTAAAAGATATTTTCTCTCGGTATAGCTCTGTCCCTGAGGAAGGCTACTTTTGTTAGCCGAAATATTGGCCTATAGTAAATCAGCCCTTTGCCGCAGTGCCAGCCCCGCATGCAGTTTTGTTTAGTTTTACATTTTAAGTGACGCCTGGCTTCAGCATCTTTTTAATTAGAGATCCGCCAAGAGGAACCAGTCAGTTATATTTACGTGTTGCGTGGACCTCTGCATTCAAACAGTTTTTTTTATCTGAGGATATATATATATTTTTTACGTTGTTACGTTTTAGCTCCAACCCTCCCGAGGGTCTCGATAAAATACAGGTGAGTCACGGATGAAACAAGTGTGGAACAACCTCTCGAAACCTCGGGTGTCTTCCAAAGAGTTAGTTCCAAGGATTAGAGGAATGATTTTAGAGAAAACAGTACTGGTTGAAATTAAATATATCCGTTTTCAAACAGAAACGGGTTCGTGTGATCGAGAAGTTTTCTTGATCATGCGAAGAAAGGAACTAACATGTTATGAACAACTAAAAAGAAATATGACTATAAATTAAGCAATCAGGAAATTCAAAAAGAAGATAAGACAAAATTTCTTGGCATAATAATCGATCAACGTTTAACATGGAAAAACCGTATTGATTATATTGTAACAAAAATCTCTAAAATTCTAGGAACACTCTGTAGAATTCTCTTCTTTGTCAATCAGCCACTTCTAAAAGTTTTGTATAATAGCTTGATTTATCCATATCTTCATTATGGTAATATAGTTTGGGGAACAACTATCCTACAAGACTAGAAAAATTGTTAAAACTGCAAAAGAAGGCTTTGAGAGTTATAGCATTTTCGTCATATCCAGCTTCCTCTCGGCTTCTTTTCCAAAAGTTAAATTTATTAGACAGCTATCAAATTAATGATTTTCCTTGTGGGCACGTTCTGTTATAAACTTAGAAAAAAATCTCTTCCAGTGTATTTTAATGTCGCCTGAATTTCATCCGATTACTTCGAGTCGTTATTACTCCCTCAGTAACGTCGTTGCGGGGAGGAGAAAACGACTCGAAGTAAGTGGATGAACTTTAGGCTAATTTTAATGATTTTTGTACAGAAAATACTCAAGTCCATAACCACTATACAAGGAAAAAGTAATCTGCACAAGAAGTTTAACAGGACAAATTTAGGTGTTTATTCGACTAGAAATAAAGTAATTAGCATATGGAATACTATCCCAGGTAAAATTAAACAGTCTATTTCAATAAATATATTTAAGAAAAAGATCAAACAGTTTTTACTATCAGAATAACTATTGTAATCAAACCTTAGTTCTAGGTTGCTATTTTTGAATGCTTCTTTGAAATAGTGTAATACAAGTTATATAAATTTTTGATAATCCCTGATACCAAATATATTAGAGGAATATATTAAGGTCATTTAAAGGGGACTACCCTGCAAAAGCCTGCAAGGGTTTCTGTAGTCCTCCTCCATTTGTTAATAATAACTAGTTTAATGACATGTATTGACCTAAATGGATATAAACTTGATTGATTGATTGATGTGGCCTCGTCACTGATGTGCCAGCCTATTTATATTCATTTATTTCCCTATTTGTCAAATAGAGTTGAGTCATGAGTTTTGTCGTGACGTCGGGAGATAATCGCTTGGGGCGCACGTCACTTGATTTTTTCTATTCATTTTTACGGTGTAAGGAAAAGACCAGCGTCATCAGTCAAGGTCACTGTATTGATTAATTTCCTTTTCTCAAAAAGAAATTCATTCCCAACGTCACGAGTTTCCCCCGAAGCTTGGTAACCAGGCTATCTGTCAAGAGTTTTCCCAGATTCCTTGTAACCAGGCCATGACACTAAAACACGAGCGAAGTCGCACGTAAAGCGACCACACGATGTTACGCACTATTGTGGACTGATCAAATTTGTTTCATGAGTTCTAGCCGAAGAATGTCAACTCAAGTAAAAGAAGGAATTAGCAAAGGTTCTGGAGAACCTGTTAAAGTAGCAGCCAAAAAACACAGATGGTACCTCGGAGGTATTGCCTCAGCAATGGCTGCCTGCTGCACGCATCCATTGGATCTGTTGAAGGTACTAAGCATCCTTTTGACTAGATGTTGAGACGCCTATTTAACCCGTGCCATTATCGGTTTTAATACAATGTGAGCTCTGAAAAAAATGCGGCAATTTTTTGGTCCTGTATTTATTTTGTTTTAATATATTTTTCGTGGGGAGGGGGTCGGGGGGTCCCGTCGTTTAAGTTTTCAATTCATTCGTTTCAGATCGATGTACTGGCTCAGACGTCATTTGTTTATGTTGAAAATCATAGGAGCTGAACCGTTGTTTAGTTTTGTAAGTGACCCAGCCTGAATCGCTCCTTGTTTCTTAAAGTGAAACCGTCCAAATGGAAAATAATTAGAATCAAGGCAATCCTTTGTTCTACTTGTCCCGGCTACCAAAACCTCACCGTTTAGATATCCGGCAACAGCCGTGGATCCTTGTTGTTGTTTAGGCAAATATTTTAGATATTTCAATCAGTGTCTTTTTTTTCAGTGTGTTTTATTTAGGCGTGAGATAAGGAATGAGTACATGTGCGCTTCTCCCGAAGGTGTTTAGTCTTGATGGGGTCGTGAATATTCACGTTATAATTATCTTACTCACTCGCGATCGTATGCAAATTTCAGTTTATCTCCATTTTGTCAAAGTTTAAATTTTATTCTAATTACATATTTGCACCCCATTTTGATAAAAATTTTAAGTGTGGCAAATTCCTTTTGAACTACATGACTACTACGATGTTAAATAAATTATGTATTTATGATCATGTAAGTTTGTCAAGTTGTTGCCTAAAGGGTTTTTGTTAGGACAAGCAGGGGGGGGGGGGGGGACGGAGGTCTTCTTACAAAGGTATCGTAAAGTTTCGAGTGCTTTTAAGCAACTTTTGAAAACCTCTCTGTAGAAGTAATAATTATTGAACATAGTTCATTTAGTTTTGTTAAAGCACTGAGATTTCTTTTCCTTAAAAACCTTCTATTACAATTATTATTGATTTGAAACTAACAATCCCTGAAAGTTATAACAATACCTTCAATATTAGACCCACAATTGACTATTTTTCCTTTTATTCATTACAAATGAAAATTCAAAAAGAAGAAACTGAAGGAAAAGCTGTAAAGGAGAAACTGAAGAAAAAATTATGTGCATCTATGCTTTTCTTTCATTTTCAGTTTCTTTCTGTTCTTTTATTGTAAATGTTCTACACCCAAAGAAAAAGAGCAGTGGCTTGATATAAAAACACGTTTTACCAGAAATTTCATTCTTTAGTTTTAGTTTCAGTAAATAGGTTATCTGTAGTTGTCTTTCTAGCATTCCCACATTTGTACTGTAATTAGAGGGAAAAGATGTGTTCTAACTACATAATTATTTTGACCGTCATGTATGTGTATGAAATGTTGTAACAGTTTTTGACCTCAGAAAATAATAAACCCCAAAAGTAACAGTCTCCAAAAGAAGCTACTAACTCCTAAAGGCTGCATAACTATTCCAAGTGTAACAAGGGTCATTACCTTTCAAGTAGTTTCCCTGAAAAAACATTTTGCAAATAATTGATATTAAGAGTAACAGATGAACCAAAAGCCTCCTTGTATGTTCACCTGTATGTACATGTACCTTTACCCCGTGAGGTTAACCTGGGAATTGCCCTCAGCTACAATTATGCAACAATCAGACTTGGACATGAGGTTTTATAAATTTGATATCTACATGTATACACTTCAGCTACCATATGGACTAGCATCCACCATATAAAACATTTACTGATACCACACTGCAGCTGCAGATCATAGTATTGTGTGGTTCCAGAAAATATCCATACCATCCCTACAGAAGGGACTTGCTGTATGACGGCCCTCTCCTCTGGATTTTCTGAAGTCAGCCCCCAAACTTTTCCCCCCTTTGCCACACACGAAATGATGTCTGAGAAACGAATGCAGAAGTTCCATACTGATGACGCGTCATAGCCAAGATCTTGGTAGTGCTTCTGATTGGTCATACTGCTGGTAAAATCAGAAGCACTACCCAGATCTGGGTAGTGATGCATCATCAGTACAGAATTTCTGTGCTCGCTTCTCAGGTGTCATTTCACGGGGAAACCTTTGGTGGCATTGTGAAATGTTGGCTCTTTTCTCAGGCTAAGCAAAACGGAAAGATTTTCATTTCCACAGAACAACTCTGCCATGACTGACCTTTTGATTTATATTGATAACACTGCATCTTGTTTAGTTATTTTTAATTCTGAAGAGAGAGATGTCATGCTCGAAAAGTTCTGATGTGACATTTTAATGGAACAAGTTCAGGAAGTTGTGGGCTTCAATTACAAGTTCACTCGGTTAATTGGCAGCGAATGAGTCTTAGTAGATCCTTGATCAACTATCACAGTGCCTAATGGGACACACTGAACCGATCTTGTTTTTAGTTTCTGAGTTTCTTTGTACTTCTTTAACTTTCCTCATGTTTTAAATCTTCGCAAATAAATTGTTGAAGTGAATTTTGTGTCTTTTCTTTGTCACTCTCTTTTGTGTCATGAGAACCTTCCGGAAATATCTCCCTATGGTGCACCCCCCCCCCCACACTGGAAAATTAGGCAAATTAATCCCCCTCCCCTAGGAAAATCTGACCCCTTCTGTGGGGGTGTCATGGATATTTTCTGGAATAATCTTGGTTTGAAGTTGGCATGTTAGTTTGAGGGAATTACATTTCAAATTTCTAGTTTGTGCTCCCATGTGTCATTAATTTACATGTTAAAAATGTGCTGACATTAATTTCCATTCAATTATAAGCCCATAGGATCTTGTTGTTACGTAAATTTCTAAAAATCTGTGTATGAAATATAACTGTTGAGTAATAATTTTATTAACCCCCTCTTTCGTTTTTTTCCTTGCATTGTAGGTTCATTTACAAACACAACAGCAAGCTACTCATAATCTGACATCTATGGGCATTCATGTTGTGCGGACACAGGGGGTTTTGGCTCTATACAATGGACTCTCAGCTTCTTTAATGAGACAGGTAAAATAAAAGAGTCAACGTCCATTTTTTCAGAGATCGGATACATTGAATAACAGCTTTATGCACTTAAATCAGAAAACTAAGCAATGACCAGCGGATCATAGGATTGGGCTGAGGATATTTTTGGCCTATTTATGTAGTCTTATTGACAAACCCCATTGCCTTTTGGTGTACCCTAAAAGTACATTTTGTACAGTTTAAGTGGTTTCCAAAACAGGAATACCTACGTACATCCTGTGCCGTAAAGAATACAGCCAATCAGGAAGGTAGAAGCCTGTTGCATATTCTGTGGTATGCAATGGGTAGTACTTTAGGAAAAGATCCCAGTGAGCATTTAGCAATGGCCTAAACTTTTCATAACCATCACCTATTCTTAGCTAAAAAGGTAATTCAAGACATAATCAAATAGACTACAAAGGACAAAGAAATTAAGGAGTTTATTAGCCAAGGGGAACAAAAACATGCCAGTTAACCAGAGTTTCGAAGACCGAGGTAAATCCACATTGCAAAACAGCAATTAGCCTAACAGAAATCCTGTAAGCATACAACAGTTGTCTTTCCATTACACAATGCAGAAATAGAATACAGAGGTGTCATGTACAGAAAATTAATATAGTATTAAAAGTGACTTTCTTCGAGGCTACCTGTGATATCGAGGTTATGTGGTAATGATGATTGGTTAATCCTTCTGCTTCCGACTCCGACAAACTGGTTTTCACTATATCATAAGCGGAACGTAAGCCATGGAGTCGTAAGCGGAGTCGGAAGAAATGGAAATGCTCTGATTTTTCTGACTCCAATTCCGTCGCGCTTATGATTCCGCTTATGACTCCGATTTTTTATTTTCACTAGGTTATAATCACTCTTATGACTCCACTTACGACTCTGTCACTAGTGAAAACCACCCTTTATGGCAATGCTTTCTCATGCTACACTTTATGCCTTAAATATCCCACTTGTGACTTGATTTTTCTTTGTTGATACATGTACTCTTCTAAACCATGTGCATACATGTTCTAAAAAATTTAAGGTCACACCCTTGAGTAGTATACCATAAAATATCCCATGAGAGACTTGAATTTTTTTTAGTACATGTAAGTTCATCATATGTATTAACAGCCTTATGAAGTTTCTAACATATTTTTGTCATAAATTCATATCAGCTAACATATTCCACTACACGTTATGGATTATATGAAGTGGTTTCAGCAGAACTAAAGAAGACAAATGGTAAGGAAAGCCTCTTGTTAGTCCAAGTTAAAAGTTCACAGCCTTTCCCCCAGACCTAAATGTACAGTATCTTACCTCTATCGATCTCCCCCTTAAGCCCCCTAATTGTAAAGGAGGAACCACCAAATCCCATGCTATCAGCAATATGCTTTTTGTACAAGAAAGACATTGTCTAACTGTGCTCTGTGTATTACTTAAGTTTAGTTTAATTCATAACACTTATGCTAATTTTTTATGGTAAGTCAATATTGACAGTCATGTAGTAGGTTGTAATGTCTCTTGTTTCTTTAATTAATTATTAGACCCACTGCCATTCTACCAAAAAATATGCATTGGAGCAGTGGCTGGTGAGTGGATTATTGCTTTTTCAAAGTCAATTCATTGAGAGTTGTAGGTCCACATGGGGTTAGAAATGTTGATTCATAAGGATACTTTTTTTGTTGCTGACTTATGGTTAGGGTATCTAGTATGCCGTTTAGACAACAAAAGGAAAGTAAGTTGAGATTATTTTAACCCAAGTTTCATTTTGAAGTTTGTCATACATTTTTTATACATGTAAAGTAACCATAAAATACTGTTATTGTAATGCATACATTGTATGTAAACAGTCAGAGCCTCCTTGACTTGCAATATTGATAGAGGCATTGCCACGCCCTGGGTGTCTATTTCATTTTAGGGGTCCAAGCGGGGGCTTGGACTTGGACTAATTATTATTCATGAATTAGGGCTAGGAGACAAAGGAAATTGAGAATCAACCTAGGTTATAAAATTTTAACCTGAATTTGATTTTGACCGCCAACAGTGACGACAGAATCCTTGCTGAGGGGTATTGCATTACCATAGTTAGTCTATCCTTACTTTGAACTTGACACTAAACAAGATGAAATATGCAAAGCCTTGTTAATCAAGTAGGAGACTGAATGAATTAACAGTGTAGAGAGGGTGTTTATTAGATAAGAGGCCTTTATTTGGAAGTGGGCATTTATTAGGTCATTTATGGTATTTTCAAGCTCCTCTACGAGGCAGAATTTTGTGATTGTTGTATTTTTTTCTTTGTTTCAGGATTTTTAGGTGGAATTGTTGGAAATCCTGCAGATATGGTTAATGTGAGGTGAGGATATCCCAAAATGTACTCTACGAGGGCATAAAATATTAACATTTCCAATTGGCACACAGCTTTACTTGAACGGAACTTGGCCAATAATATCTGCAGATGAGCTAGAAAAAAATCCCTCCTCAAAAGAAACCTCATCTAGTCCAAATTCTGTCAGAAAAGTATTCTGCATTTATTCAGTACACCTTTATTTGGGATGTTATAACCTTGTCTTGTTAATTTATTAACTAGTTGTGTGTTAAAATTATGTTTGTTAACAGCCCTCTTTGGCAAATTTTATGTGGGATTTGGATTGGCACTGTCAGCAGTACATGTAAAAGTTATTATTGTTGAAATTAATGTTGGCATTCTACTTTTATCGTTGAGTCTTTTTTGTGCTTACTGGCTTTATAGCCAAAAAGCATTATGTCAGTGTCTGTGTAAGTCTATCTGTCCATCCTTCAGTAAGACGGTATTTCTGTTGTCCTGTTAGTGCAAAGCGTTAACGCTATAACCTTTGGAGCCGAAGGCGCTGGATTTGATACCCACTATCACCCTTTTTTTTCCTGATGAATTCTATGGGTTTTCTTTTTTCTTGAAGCCTAATAATTTAATTATGTAAAGAATTTAGTAACTTACAGTTAATTGAGATCCGGGGTTTCGATTGATACTGAATTGCATGGGCTCAGTTTCGATCAATACTCAATTGTGTCTTTCCTTTTGAGGACTTTACCAATTGTTTTTTGCTTAAAAAAAAAAAAAACAAGGTACACACTGAAACAAACTATTAAATAAATAAAATTTGCATGTTTTGAATTAAATGAACTTGTAGCACACAGCTTTAACATTTTTCACTTTAACCTCTGAAGCAGAGCTTTTGGGCTCAGTGCCAGTACCCGGCATCACCCATATTTTCTTCAATGTATTTAATAGATTCTTTTCTTCTTTTTTTGTTTTCGTTTTTATGGTTACTGCAGTGAAGACTATTCATAGCCATGCAGTAAGCACATGTCCTCTCAGGGGACTATTTTCTGACACGTCATACATGCCAGGTCAATCAACTCATCATTTTAACTTTTTGCAGGATGCAAAATGATGTCAAAACTATTGATGTTGCTAAACGAAGAAAGTAAGTCAAAACAGTGTTTTCAAGAAACTTAAATATTATACAGTCACTAAGAATTCGATGACCAGGCCCCAGGGGGGGTACTCGGGATTTCAAGTGACGGGGATGATCGAATGGAGCCAAAATTCAAGACCCAAAAAAATCCCTGGACCAAAAATTAACCCCAAAAAAATCCCATGCCAATTTTGTGGCCCTTGAAAGTTCCAGAAAGGGTAATGCTATAACACAAAGAAAAACATTGGAAATTGAACACTCGTGTTTTTTTATTCATCATACCATCTCAATATATCCTTTCCCTCATCTGGCAGTCATTTTAACAAGCTAGAGCGGGTGCTAGAGACACCCAAGAACGGTTTTGTTTCAACAGTAACGTTATGAATAACTCTAAACAAGACCAACTCGGGTAAGAACAAAACAAATGACTTTACTACTCAAATCAAGCTACCCAAAAAAATACTTGCCAAATTTTCGTACCCAAAAAAATCCCGGAATCGAAAATTTCAAACCCAAAAAAATCCTTTGATCATCCCCGTCACTTGAAATCCTGAGTACCCCTCCTGGGGACCAGGCCTCAGTTGTTCAAAAGGTGGATAGTACAATAATACCATCCAGTGAATAAATGGAAATGATTTCCCTAAAGCTTATCCACTGGATTAAACAGTAAATTATATTTATCCATTGGATAGTGTGCGATCCAGTGTTTGAACTACTGGGGTCAAATAAACACGTGCTCCCCTTGAATAAGTGCAAAAATAGTGTTAAGCACCACACCCAGCTTGCCTACAATGTAGTGCCAGTGTTGAATTTAATATTCTTTTTGACATTACTTCATTATTGGTGATTGGCTTCTTTCTCTTTTCTCATAGTCTTTGAGAAAAACAAAGAAAAAAATTACAAATTACAGTGTTATTTGCAAATGAGAAAATTTATAAAAGCTCTGCAGCCCTCCAATAAACTTTACACTGAGAGGTGTGATAATATCTGATATGTGCCAGGGCTGTAACTTGTCAATGAGTATATCTCATGGTATGCTTAACCCTTTAGGCCCCAATATCCACATATAAATTCTCCATATTGATCGTCATACATTTCTTTAAAGAATTAGTTGAGAGAGCTTGATAACAGATCAAAGCATTTCCTCTTTACTGGTCATTTTATTAACTGTCGTAACCATTTCTCTTGGCAACATATGGATACTGTCAGGAGAAACTTGATGTTGGTCACTATTGGGACTTGCAGGGTTAACAGTTAGCTTTTGTATCTTTACAGCTATAAACATGTTTTTGACGGTCTCTACCGAACAGCAACAGAAGGTATATTAAATTACATATATTTATTTTGTGTCTTACAAATAATGCATCTTTGCGGGCTGTACAATTTGCAGTTAATAATACTTAATGCATAAAGGTTGCAAAATATATGAATGTTAATGTTCATTTTTATAAAATAATTTAATAAATCATTTGTTTTTCTTTACCATAAAACAGAGGGCGTGACCACATGGATGAGGGGTGTCACTATGACCTCATCGAGGGCCCTTCTTATGACAGTGGCTCAGGTACACTGTAAGCTTAGTTATGACGTCTTTTTGCCATATTTGACAGTAGCTCAATAGAATAATATTATCGATCAGCAACTTAGTGTCTTAATCAAAGGGGTCTGTGTTTCATGGCATATGAGTTTCTAATATAATGATATTTAAAAAAATATCCCTCCCATGGTAGCAAAACTGGTGTTTCTGAATTTTGACCAGGAGAAGTGTTGAGGTTTTTTTAGTAAATGAAATACTGTAAAATCACATGTTAAAGCCCTGGGCTCATATAACTTCATAAGGGTTTTTGGGTGGGCTTATAAATGGGGGGCTTATTTCCAGGGGTAGGCAGGGGGGCATATACGTGGAATAAAAAAAGTGTTTTGGAACAATGAGATAAAACGTTTCTGTGAAACAAATAATATTAAAGTAAACATACCATTACATTTAAAGTTACATTCATAATACATTAATGTGTCACAATAAATGGATAATGTATTTCAAAAACATCTATAAAGCAGTTATGTGACTGGAAAAACTGGGACCAAACAGAACAAAAGTTAAAAAAAAAATAAAAGCCTTAGCATTATCAATTTGTCTGTTTGCTGTGAAATGGTCCTCTCGTAGCTTTAACAAAGTTCATATTTGTATTTCAATGCTCAGAACAATTTCATAGTTTCATGTTCCAGTTCAAGTGGCAACTGAGTTGAACAGTTGTGTTGGAAATGAACAGTGAAACAGAACTCGTAGCATTGTTATTATACGCATGAACATTTGTTTCTTTCTTCGGTATCAATTTGATTATTGTTCTAAACTCCACAGCCACTTGTTTATGCCTATGACTTTAGATTAAAAATTTTGATGTTTGTATAGAAACGCAAAAGGAACATACTTATAATAATACATGGGCTTATATCTGGAAAATCTTTGTTACCAAATGGATGGGCTTATATTGGGGGTGGGGGGGCTTTAACATGGGATTTTACGGTAAATGAGATATAATGTTTAATGTTCCATGAAAAATAAAATGGAAATTATTTGAAATTGGTCTCTTCTAACAGGTGGCTTGCTATGACCAAGCAAAACAACTTTTGCTTGCAACAGGGTGAGTTATTTGTTCTTTACATGTCTATTGGATCATAGCCTGTTGCAGGCTGCAAGAGAGTGGGGAAAGTTGATCTGAAAACGTTACGTGAAAACCACTTGGGGGCTGGGGTGAGACAGAGAAGTGGAGCCTGTAAGCATTATTTTCACCTCATTCGAGTATACCAGCTTCATGGCTGTACCTAGGATTGGTCAATAGTATTATTGTGACAGTTTACCTCAATCATTTGGCCTCAGGCATGCCTAACAAACATTTTGAGCATATGAAACCCTACACTGCAACTTTTGATGTTTTGACATTTAACATTGCGGTTTTCAGGAAGTGGGTGGGGTAGTGGTTACAGGCTTTCCCCATCTTTTTTTGCTTGTTCGCTTTTTTCATTTGTCTACACTGACTGAGAGCGTGGCTTAATTGGCTAATTGAATCATTATTGTCACTCTAAGGTGTTCAATGTCCAAATTTGAGTCAGGTCAAGAGTAGATAACTCAAGAATTTAAAGGAAACCTTGATTGCTTAATTTGCATTTATACATTGTCACTACATCCAGCTGTACATATTATTATTATTATTTTTTAATTGTCATTTGCAGGGTTTTTAAAGATAACATTATCACACACTTTACTGCAAGTTTTATAGCGGTAAGATATGTTTTGCTGTGTGTTTTTTCCTACAATTTTCAATTGTTTTTTGATCAACAAGCACATTTCATATAACGTAATCACAAATTATTGACTTCTGTTTAAGATGCACTTTGTTATGTAGTAACAGTTTAATTTTAATTGCCCTGTTCCCGTGTTTCATATCAAGCTGCCTTCTTCAAGTTGTAATAGCTGGGAGAAGTAAGATAATTAATTAAATTAAGAAATGCTTTGTACTTGATGCAATTTACACAACTGCTAACAGGAAACACTCATTATTAAAAATCATTGAAACTATGTCAATGTTTGTTTAGGGTACAATTGCCACTGGAATCACACAACCTGTTGATGTAATGAAAACAAGACTCATGGAAGCCAAGCCAGGCCAGTACAAGGTAAAACTAGTACCTCTCTTCACTGGCTGTATTAAACTTACAGTAATTGCAGCACTCCCCTACAAAACATAGTGGAACATTTAAAAAAATAATGCTACTTTTCACCGTTGTTACAATACCAACTCTAGAATAGCTGTTGTCTCTTACAATGTTATTAATGAATGCATTTTCCGGGTGTTTTAGCACTGCATGTATTTTTATAATTCAAAGGAATTCAAATGTTTAGATTGGAGCTAAAAATAAGTACTTTCAAGTCTTCAAATTCTGGAGTTTTCACGAGAGTTGCGTTTTAATGAAAAATTGTATTTTTTATTTTAGCATTATTTTCCTTTGTTGTAAACCGGTCATCATACATTATCATTCCCAAGAACAAAAGTTTGATGTTCAAAAACATTATTTTTCAAAGTACATGCAAGTTTATCGTACAGCTGATTTCCTTTTTTTCTTTCAGAGTGTGGCTCATTGTGTTCTTTACACAGCAAAGCTTGGACCTATGGGCTTTTATAAGGTTGCTATTATCTTAATGTGAACAAATGTATAATAACTTCGTAGAGGAAGACCACTACAAATAATGCCAATGCATACGTTGAATTTTCCACCAGTATCTTATCTTTTAGCATAGTTAAAATACAAATCAGTCAGCCCAAAGAGGACTGCAGTTGAATATTATTGGCAGCTACTTCAATATTGTTCTGAACTCAGGCTTTTTCTCATTAGGAAAAAGGTAGTGTTGCTAAGTTGATAAGACTTACTGTTTATTTTTTCTAGTTTTTTTCTAGTTCTAGTTTTTTATTCTCATGCAATTAAAATTCATTTTCACAAGAAAGGTTTTTGTACTTAGCCTCGTTTTGACAAGAGAGGTTTTGGAACTCGGAATTGGCCTATTGACTTGAGGGTTGTAGGAAAATCCTATCTCAGTTTGAGACAGGGAAAGAGGAGGGATGGCCTTGGGCAATTTTAATGAGTGATAAAATATCCGACATTATTGATAATTTTTAAGCAGTCTCTTGTGGAGCATGATTTTAAGACTTAAGTGACTTTATTCCTGAAATGAAATAAAAATGAATGAAAGAAGAGGTGTTATGTACTTAATAACCACTAAGAACTGTTTTTTTTCCCTTTTTTTTCAGGGTTTTGTTCCAGCATGGGTCCGTTTAGCACCTCATACAATTCTAACATGGATCTTCCTAGAGCAGCTTAGAGTTTTTTTTCCTATTAAACAGCAAGAGTGATTTCAGTAGTCAGTCTTGCAGATAATTATTTACATTTTACATGTGTGCTTTAGGTGTTGTAGTACAGGTAGCAGGTAGATCCTCATCTCTAAACCATTAAGAAAAAGTAACCCCAACCTGCAAAGTTGCAAGGGGAGGGTGGGTTTGGGCGTGATCTTACCGGTAACGTTTCGTAACCTCTTATTAAGTGTTCATATACAAGAGACAAAGGTTTTAGAAGTTATTCATTTATATTTCAGAGATATTATCTATACGAAATTCTATCTTTTTCTTTTTCTCTCGCTTTTTTACTTCACTCCCTTTTGTCTTTCATCTTTCTAGTCTATGTTTGTATCTTTTGTCAAAAGTAGTCGAGATTTAAACCGACTGTTGTGAGACAAAGTGAAGAGAATTTATAGAAACATTATTTTAAAAACAGAAGTAAATATGATAGGAAAAAAATTACATTGATCGCTCCATGTAAGCTTAGGGCAAGGTGATTACTAATAATTTTTTGTGTAGTTAGTGTTAGTTACATTGCATTTATTTCCGTTTTGAGCGATCAAAAAACAACAATGACGTTAACGTGTTTTGTTCATTCGTGATAGAGATACTTTACTTAATAATGCCTATACAAAAGTTATCAAAAAGAAATTTAAACAGTAATACAAAACTTAAAATGATATTAGCAAAACAACAGCAACAAACGAACAAACGCTGGAAGGTTTAAGTAGGTTTAAGTCTTGGCAGTATAGAAGACCCGGTTGTATGGCCTGCAAAAAATTCTGATCTGTTTTCCTAGCCTTCAAATTCTTGATTTTTCCTGCCCATGGAAAACAAAAATGTCTCAACTCGGTGGCAACCCTGTAGCTGGTTATTTTGAAATTAAGCTTATAAGTCATAATAAACCGTATGAATAAAATTGTAAAAACAAAGTAAGCTTACTTTAAGTCGAGGGAATATGGACAATAAACCGGTTATTTTGAATCAAGCTAATGTTTTCAAGGGTTTATGATACTGAATAAGCTTATAAATATGTATTGCCGGATTATTAATACACTGTCTTGATGACGCACATAATACTAATACACATGAAAGTAGTATTACGACGTTCGTAATTTTAATATAAAATGTGTGCACTATTAATTTTTCTTCCTCCAAAGCAGTCTTGGTTCACCGTTTCGTCCAAGAGAGCTTTGTTAAAAAAACGAGGAGTGCTTTTCACTTAAGCTTGGTCAGCTGCCTGACGGCCTTACAAGAAAACTGTCGCTTTTGTAATTTAACGATCTTAGCAAAGCTTACCTAAGGTTCATCTCCTAAAAAGGTTTGTTTCTTATTTTGGAGACTTTCATCTGTTGATGTTTCGTACGCAGAGGGCCGCCCTTTCACAATTTTCACAGCACAGGTAACTTCTTGTTTTTATTTTCTCCTTCATTGCTATGAAGATTGACGTTTTTTGTACTTTTGGCGAAGTTATAAAGTTGAAGTTCCTTGTTACCCGCAGAGACCAAGAGGTAAAAAAGGAAACTTGGAAATATCCGTCTTCGTTTATATTCCTTAGCTTCCTACCCCCCCTGCTTGACACCGGCCGTCAAAAAGGCGGGAATTTTGTAGTTTTCGTTTGGTTATCGCCAGGAGGGTAAACTAGAAAAGGCGGGAAAGGAAGAAAGTAAGGCGCGCTGCGACTCCACGCATGACCGAATGTAGAGAGAAATTTTTTTTTTCCCCAATGCGGAGCCTGGTCGCAGGCTTTCCCTTCATTCATGGTCGTACTTGAAAAAACTGTCCACGCTCTCTCGCTGACTTCCACAGCGCACGTGGTTTCTAGTCGTAAAACAATACTTTGTACTTTGGTCTTTGGCATTCCGTTAGTCACGTGCCGACCTGTTCAAGTATTAGGGTGATTTAACAAGAGGACGGGAACCAAATAAACAATAAAAATAATACAATTCAAATTAAAATAATTAAAACGAAATAAAATAATAAAAATTGTAGCTTTCAGACTATTTTTAAGGTGGAAGCTACCTATATTTAGTATATTTATTTCATTTTCATTATTTTTATTTGATTTGTATTGTTTTTTGTTATTTGTGTTTTTTTTAATTTTTAATTTTATCATTTGCGCTTTTTTCAAGGTTCCGGGTAGGTTCCGGGCAGGTTCCGGGGGGTTCCGGTTGGTTCCGGGCGGTTCCGGGGGTTCCGGGCGGTTCCGGGCAGGTTCCTCCATTTACATACACCCTAGTGAAACTAAGGTCAGTGTATGTGCGGTGATTGGTGGATTTCGATCCCCGGCCTTTGTCAGTTTCTTTGTGTTTGCGGTCTGTCTCTTCTAGCAGTTATTTTGATTAAAGGCAATTACAAACGCAGTCGTAAACGGCAGGAAAAGGGAAGCAAAGACGATTGAACTCAACAGACAAGAATAAAGAACAGGTAGATTTTGTTAATAAACCAAATCAACATTTAATTATTGAATCGAGGTCCAGTTTGATTGTTGGATTATTCATTTTATGAATGGATTATTGAGTCAACAAACGAAATCATTTTTCCATTAATGAATTCATTAGTTTGCTAGTGACGGGAACGCTTGACCTGGTTTGACTGTAAGGAACTCCCAAACTGTGCTTGACATGAATATGTGAACGGTTTTCTTGGTTAGTACCCAGTCCCCCATTATAACTGATTCCTTTTATCAGACGTTTCCTTTACAATATCTTAACATTGCCAAGCACAGAAAAAAAATTCCTGACGGCCTTATTAAAACCACGCAACCAGAAAAAATTAAGGTCACAAGAAAAAGTGAGCCCATTTTACTTAAGAGTTTTTTTGAAGCCATGAAAGGGCCAGGTGACCTCATTTGCAAATTTTGTGCCGGCCAAATTGGCTCAAAGTAACACTGTACAAGTCTGACAAATTTTCTCGTTGCTATAACAAAAGAATACCCCTTCACTTTTTCACAGAGCAACTAGAAGCTCATGCCTTGAATAACTATATGAGGGGGCTTCGGCATTACCCTCGTAAGGCATAGCAAAATTTGTATATTACTAAACAATGTCAATCATAATAGTGGTCAAAACAGTAAATTTTAATACCATCTTGCATCTTTTATTTTGTATTTAGCCTTAAATTTTTTTAGAAAGTCATTGTTACGCATATCATCGGTGTTCTTTCGGCGTTAAGTTTTATTTTCATGTTAACTCCAGTTGAAAGTATTTATATACAACGACCTATCGTCTTCTGTTTCCTCTTGTACAACTCCCTTAACTTTGAGCTTTTTAACCCTACTTTCTAGCGTCCACTGTCGGAAATTCGAGGCAAGAGTTAAGGGTAGACCAGAGAAAAATTAGTGGAAATATTTTAAGAACGGTTGAAATATTCTCTCCTGGATCAGTGTGGCTTTTCTCCGAATTCACCCAACTGCCCCCTGGTATTCAAGAATGTCGACATATACATCAGATGATCTTTACTCCATTTTTTAAATTGCAACGTTTCCATTGTTTACTTTTCTTACCCATACATAAATTTATAGAGATATAATTATTTGTCTTTTCATAAATTCTTGGCCGCACCAGATTTGTTATTACTACATTATTTGTATCCTATTTTAAGACCAGCATAAGAGCTTGTGCCGGCTCATCGCCCAGCAATACCAGAAGACTCTCAATTACAATGATCCACAATCAACAGTGAGTCCAGCTCAACATACTCCCGCGGGCCAGCCGCGTGTAACCATCTTCAGTGAAACGTTAGTCATTCCCAGAATGTTGAAAATAACTCTCCCAGCCCAGACCACCGTTTGAGCGTCTGACATCTCCGTCTTACAGCTCTTTGCTCAAGGATCTTTAGTTTTTTAAGTATGCCATAAAGACAATCAAAAACGCGTGTACTAACTCTATTGGAAGAGCAAAACAAGGCAACGCTCTTACTATCCACAAAATCAAATCGAGGATCTTAAAATTTTGCTACCATTTCAGATACTAAATAGATTTCTTCCTTATATCAGCTCTTAGCTGCTCTAGATTTCTAATCACCACATTATTCAAGTATTACATAAAAATTAGTTTCTGTCTTATACTAATTACACTACGAGCACTTGACTTCGGGAGTTTACCACGCGCAATCCGAAACATCAGTCTGTATCCTTGTTTTACTTTCAATTTTGCTTCAACCTTCCAAGTACTGGGTGTAAACGGAAAGAAGGGCTTGATCAAGATGACAAAGGTTTGACTTAAAATATGAAATCATCAACTGTGAAGGGAATAGATGAAAGTAGATGTGATCCTTTCAGATATACTAATAACCGAAGCGGTTGAGAAAAAGAGAAAAAAAAACAGGAGAAAAGAAAAGTGAGAGAAGAAAAGAAACCTGAATCGAAAAAATTCCCTTTCAAGTGTGACTTTTTTCACCTTCTTTTAGTTTTCAAAGATGAGATTGTTTATTAACTACAAGGACAAGATCTACTTTCATCGGACAACCCGATTCATCGACTTTGCCAAAGTTTTGAGCCTGCTCAAATTTCCATGGGTCGATTGAGTTGAGATTTCCGGAAGCTTTAAGGTCAGCGTCCTTATTTCACCCGGCTGGGCAACATAACAACCACATAGATATGCATTCAATAGTGAGCCCAGCTCAACAAGCATCTACGGGCCAGCCGCAAATGATCTCCTTCAATTTGAAGAGTAGGATATTCTTCACATTCTGAAAAGTTACTTTCCCAAGCGTAAACCTTGTCTTGTAGTTCGTTACATCCCAATCAAGTATTAACAAGTATTTCTTCACGATTTATAATCATCCTACTCGTAATTGCATAATTACACAAAACTAATAAATCCCTCGCGGTGAATCTCTTAACAGCCCTTCACAAACTAACGCCGTAAGCCATTTTTTAAGAGCCAAAAATGTAGCTCTTTAACTATCTACAAAATTAAATTTAACATTAATGAATTTCAACTTCTCTTTTCCTCCAAACCACTATCTAAGCCTGATTTCAGAGCGTCTACCGACTGCGTCGTCAAATATCTCAGACATGCACTTCCTCGGAAAGGCGAGGTTCTTGCAGATGAAATGTTTGAGCGTTAGCAGCTTCGCTTGAAATTGTTTCTACTTCCTCAAAAGCATTGCCATGTTTTAAGTTCCGAAAAACCTGTGAGTTTTCGTAAGTGTGTTCATCTGTGGGTGATATTCCTTCTCCGAACTCGCTTTTTGCTTCATCTTCATCTTCTCGGAGATCTTCAAAGAAAAGTTGGGACACTCGAGGATCGGTCTTCGCAGCAGTTGCTTTTGCTTCAGTCCCTTCTTCACGGGGATTCACCAAATCATCCTTTTTCTCAGGACACTGTTCAAGAATCTTAATAGCACTATCGGAAGAACTATCAGCATCAACGGACGTGTTTTCCAAAGGCTCTGATATATCTGAGAGTACATCTGATGGCCTTGCATACCCCGAGCTCGTTTCTGAGATTATGCTCTCTCTGCCGCTGTCAGGGAAAAGTTCCAGATAGGTGTGTGTGCTCGCCCGCTTTAAATCTTCATCCTCTCTTGGATCACTGCCAGTACCTATAGTGAAATCCGACCCAGCTTCAGTCGCAAAGACTTCCTCGCTGCAGTTGCTTTCCTCACCCGGCGAAGGACGGATAACCAGCCCGGGGATCTGACTTATTCTGACCGAAGCATAAGGAGAGGTAGACTCTTCAGGTTCTAAAGTGCTGGAAGGCGCGCCACTATCTCTTATATTACTTTCTTGATCTGAATTTCGTGATTCCCTTCCACTTTGAGAACTTCCTGTTTTGGACATTTCCTCCTCACTTACACTGGCATAAGGATTTTCCTCATCAAAATGCTCATCTTGGTCATCGCTATCGACAGGGGGGCCAGATAAAGTTCTAGCTTTACCCTGAGAGCTTAGTCTTCCTCTGCGTTCATCGAGACTTGAGGGCTTTTCATCGCTTGTCACACTTTGATACGACGGTTCCTTCTCGTTATTGTTATCACTTTGGTTGCTGTGTACGCTTGCATACGAGTGATATATATCAACATCGTAGGCCGTCCAACTGAGATCACGCAAGAGAAGAAGAGTATCCAAAGACTTCGAATGTCTGTGGCATAAGTGTGATTTCCTTATATGACCCAGATCGAAAGCAGCTGATTTATCCAAGAGATCTAAAGATCCTTTTCTAGGTGCTGGCACTGGAGGCTGCGATGCGTTAATTATCTTATTAAATGTACCCCCGAAGCTTGAAGACTTGACGAGCATAGGATGAGCTCGCTTGGGAGTTCGTTTTTGATGAAAAGGAAACGTTTTGCCTTTTCCTTTACTGAATTGCCCGGTTTCCAGAAACCGCAAACGATCAAGACTTTTTGAGAAGCGTTTACTGGGAGCAGGAGGCAGCGGTCTGTTCTGAAACAAGTTGGATACACTCTTGGTTTTAGAGTCAAGCGTTAGCGATCTTATTTCTCTTTTAATATCGGGAGATGATCCGCTATTATTGGACTTTAAGAAGTCTCCTTTAAGTAGATTTTGAGCTGACAATATGACCGTGGGAAGGGTGTGCCCACTGACACTCCTACCCTCACGCAGGTCACCTGAAAGATAAAATGATTTCAAGTACATGTAACAATGTCATGGCTCGGATACTTGGGGCAACCCTATCCTACGCTATGACACTAATAAATTTATTGATTGATTGATTGATTGATGAACAGAAATAAACCTTCGTACGGGCCACGGTAACGCTTAAAAAACAGACAGTTACGAGCATAAGGAAAGACGTTTTTGTGCAACGTACGTCAACCAGAAGTGGACTTCTTGCATTCTTGGTCAAGTGAAGACACCTAGCAAGATACATTTGGTGACATCAAGGCATATTAAAAGGGAAAAGGCCTCACTTCCGGTTGACGTGCGTGACTCAAAAACGCCTTTGCTTAAGCTCCCTAGTATAGACCTTGTCACGCTTTTGGAAGCCCTCTTGACGAGTAGGCAACCGCGTGAGAAATTACAGTGCTTTTATGAGTAGATGAAGATTTGACCGCTAGGATATATATTAAAGAAACCAATATATTAGTAATCTAAAAACACATAAAACAGATGTGCTTAATACTAAATGCTGTAAACTGCCACACTAATGATCATACCTTCACTTAAAGCACTGTTGACTTCATCATTAACTGAACTGTAAATATGATCCCTTCTGCCAGCTGTGGCTGGAAGCGTGTTTACCCGAAAATCTTCACGATGTTTCCTCCTGTGCTTTCTGTTTTTAGTAAACTTTGCGACCTGCGTACGCTCCTTGTGATCATCACTTTTGGGAACAATACGTTTAGTTCCAATGTACACTCGCTGTTGCCCAAGGGAGTCCAAAGGGATCTCATAAATTTGAAGCTCAGGAGTTCCTGGTTCTTGGTCAGCTAAAACAATAAATCAAGAAGCAAACAGTGAGCTAAAGAATAACTCAAAAAAAGTCAAGAACTTTCAAAAACCTAGAATCAGACTATTTTCTCTGCTTTTTCTTGTATAATTTATAGAACATTCATACTGTTTTTTTTTTACTTGATAATGACGTCCAAGAACGTCGAAACATTGTATATTATATTTTCTAACTTTTTAAAAATTTCTTAAAGGTTTTGAAGAAAAGTTTTTACGCAATTTTTTTTATAGCTAAACAAAACAGACCTTGAAAACCCGATTAATACAAAGAGCCAATGTCAAGGGTGGGAAAATACCAGCAAGTCGTATTACCCTTCATTTACCCTTAAGGCTGATTTAGCAACAGAATGGGAATGTCAGTCGACGACGGCGCGCGCAAATCGAACAACTGGTCAAATTGAGCACCAGAAGTCGCGTTTAGTCCTTTTTGCGTGCTTGCCTGTCATCAACTGACGTGCGTGCTCCCCTTCTGTTGCTAAATCAGCCTATTGTTTTACCCAGGTTTTTGGCACAAAAATAAATCTGCAGAAATGCAAAGGAAAGGGAAAAGGAACTGTTGTTTATGAGAAGAATCATTGCAAAGACTCAACAATAAAAGACAGGAAAGCCCCAGGGCAATTACTCTTAACAGACCTCTTTCATAATGGCCGCCCATTTATCTATTCTTTTATATGTATGTGAATGAACCTTCCTGGTCTCGTTTGAAAGTAAGAATTGTTTTGTATTTTACATGTGGTAACGAGGTCAGAAAGCAGGGCTCGAACTTAACTTTTGAACTTAATAGTCAAATGGCTAGTACATGCTCGGGCTTTACTAGCCATAAACGTGTTTCTAGTAGTCTAGGCACTTCTGTACAGCATACGATTAAAAAAAATGTCAACAATCCTGTGATTATCAAACGTTAATAAAAACTGCAACATAAGAAAAATTTAAATGCATCTTGTCTTGTATGTTTAGTTACAATACAATAATAAATTTTACTGAACTCTACAAACAAGAACCCAACAGCACTTGCGCTGGTCTGCAGTTTAAAGTCCAGCAGCCAGCACCTGCACAAGTTGTATTGTCTCTACACAATTTGCAGAACATTTGGTTTGCTTCAACATCGTTTGTGAGCCATGGAAAGTCTTTCAGCCAGGTCCGTACAAATTTTCGTTTTGATGAAGATTTACATGTAGACGTGCTGCCTCCAGCAGAATCATCACTTGCTCTCTTTAGACCTTTAGTTGTTTTATTTGACAACAGAAATGCCCTAATATCCATGACAATCATGCGTGGACTGTGATTGTAGATTTGCATTTCAAGATCATGTACATTTGTTTTTTGGCTAGCTTTGCATCATGGGTACGGCCTGGCCCATGCTCCCTGGTCAAACAAAATTTCAAGATGGCAGCGAATAAACGCGAAACTGAAAACCGAATTAACAAATATTATTCTTTCTTTTATTCATGCCAGTTGTTAATGGGGGAATGAAATAAGAGGTTACTAGAAGGTGCGGATCAACTGGGAAAATGTTGAAAACATTTCAAGGCTTATGTTGTTTACAGGTGCGAAAATTAACTAGCCAAGATGGCTAGTAAATGAGCTAAATCCACTAGCCAAAAATCAAAATCTACTGGTATTTGGCTAGTAGACCACCGCCAAGTTCGAGCCCTGGAAAGGCTAGTTATCATAGATATAAAAGAATACATTAATAGGCCACAATTATCAAAGAGGTGTATGAATTAGTTCCAGAATCAGAAGATTCAAAAACATTTTATTTATCTGATTGCCTGCTTCTGAATGGCCAGAAAATGTCTTATATCACAAACAGGAAAATCAAATGTCAACTAAGACTTTTTGCATTATTGCAGTCTGCTTTTCCCATGTTTATGCTACCCCACTGGTTTTGAAAAGAAACTAAGAGAACTGCTTGCAGTCAAATTTCAACTATCCCTGCATTGATTTCATGCTATAATCTCCTGTCCAAATTAGCTGCTCTGGTTTGATGAGGAATCTGAAATATGTTTGGATGCGACTTTACGAATTAAAATCAGATTGCACTCTAAATCTGAAAACAACTGCCAAAAAGCTTCAATAATGTAATTACATCCATGGAGACAGCTTCATATAAGGGTTCGTCTTGGATATGTATATGTATCCCTGACTGAGTTACAACAATGGGTAGGTGTCTAGGCAATTCAATGTTCTTGAACTTTAAGGATCAATACAATGGTATATTATTGAACTATCAAAACATCATTCTTGGCAAGTTTTATGAAAGACATAAAATTTTGTATATTCACTTTCAAAATAAGTACCTGCCAAATTGTCAAGAAGAAATTCAGACTCCCTGAAATTGAACAAGGAAAATTAATATAGAGATCAGTAAAGAATGCCTTTCTCTCAATGGTGAATTGTTGCTAAAAAATTCTAAAAAGACTGTTTGTCAGAAAACTCTTGATAACTTAACCTACAAGCAAAAATAAATCATTATTTGTTTTAGGACACTCATGTTTCAGGTAGCAAGTGCCATAAATTGCATAAATAACGTAAAGGTCAATAAACATAATGGAATCATTGCTTCATATATTAAACAATAATTTATTATTATTACCTTGTAAATGCTGGGCTTAACTCTAATGCATCATCCCAAACCATGTAGGAACCATGGTTTTTCCTGAATTAGAAAACAAAGGGGCTATTCACCTTGCACATAACACAAACATAACTTTAGAACAGTCCATAACAAAATTAATAAAAACAATGGGGCATTAATTATTACATTCCAAGATTTATAATAGACCTTTTTACCGATATGGTGGCCATATTGAATTAATTCGATTTAAGGAGTATTATAGGATGCCCAGGGGGCATGAGCACATTTCGTTTGTATTTTCGAGCGCTTTTCGGGACATTTTTTCTTAACGTTTTCTTAGAATAAGATTGTAATGGGTAAAAAGATCCTCGTGCTGTGTTTTGATGTAATAATGATCGCCTTTTTCCCGAGAAAAATACACTGAAAGTCCATATTTCTAATACTAAACCAGTTGTTGGGGGGGGAGACTCTGGTTTTCAAGTGGCGGGGATGATCAAATGGGGCAAAAATCAAAACCCGAAAAATACCCGGACCAAAAATTAACCGCCAAAAAATCCAATGCCCAATTTCCAAGCCTTAAAAATTTCCAGAAGGCATTAAATGATAATTATAATGCAAAAAAATACAATCATTCAGAAATTAATTGAATTGTGTTAACTTTCTTTCTTCATCAAACCATCTGAAGTTATCATACACTGGCACTACCACGAATCTTCAGATTGTTTTGAATACCCCAAAAATCCCCACTTAAATCAATCCACGAAAAAAAATACTTGCCAAATTATCCTAGCCAAAAAAATCCCACAATCGAAAATTTCAAACTCAAACAAATCCTTTGATCATCCCCATCACTTGAAATTCAGAGTACCCCCTGGGGGCCCCTCACACCTTACTTATTCTGAAAACCCATCTGGATTTCATAGGTACAGAGCATGAGGCTCTCCAAATGTCTTTTTAGAACACAGCCTTGGAATGGCTGCAAGTGCATTTTTGTGGTAAAGAAGGTCTTACGAGCCTTTCCTGCTTTTTTCTACTCACATGGTCACCTTCACTGATTTTCAAATCATAGGAAAGACAGGGGAAAAAGGAATTGCGTGGCCTTACCACCTATCCATTCTCCCATAAAGGATAACTATTACAGCAATAAGGAGAAGAACCACTCCAGCAGCAATGATGATGTATGCCCAAAATGGTACACCACCTACATAAAGAAATAATTTTAGAAAACTATTTGCCATGAATCAAGAAAAACTTTCACTTCCAAGTGACAAGGCAATATTACTTCCTAACGTCAACTTGTAAAACATGACTGAATGTAAACAGATGCTACAGGTAGGTATATTTTTTTTTATCACTATCTCTGATGACATAATTAGGTGAAAAAAAATTGTACTGCCTTACAATGTAGAAGGGGGAAGGTGTGACTCTGATGTAATGGGGACAGAGTTGTTTGTTCAAAACTTTGCCACCCCACAAAATATCAAAATTGTTGCCCTTATCAAAATGTTTCAAGCCTTTTTAGCAAAATACTTCTGTGGTAGTGAAAGAGTGTTTTAAGTGTTCAGCAATCCTCCTATGATTAAAAAACTATTTCAAGTATTGAAAGCTTCTCATGGTATCCCAAACCCAAAACTATCCCTCCAAAACATAAATTGTATTTTTATTTATTTATTTATTACTTGTACCTTTATCATCAGTTTGGTCACTTGGTACATAAATTCCAGTACTGTTTCGTTCTTTTGACTGGACACCATGCTCATTTTTGCCTGAATTTCTTTCCCTGTCACCATCCTTATCAATTTCAGCGCCAGTTTCATTCTCCCTTATTCCAGGTAATCCACGCGTTGCAGAGAGTATTGCAGTAGAATTAACCAATAGAGAACTAGTGGTGGTTTCAGTCATATTAGAAGGAACCAGATGGGTATGAATGCCATTGCCTGCTGTAGGAATTGAAAAATTACTGAATGACGACTGTGATGAATTAGTGCCTGCAAAGGAAAATAATGAATCAGTGTACGTAGTTTAGGAGCGACAGTATTAGACTAAGAAAAATATTCATCTCTTAGAGAATGGTCAGTTTGCTCAGATGGAAGAGTGCTAGTCTGCCTCAATATGAGTTTGTGAGCAATATTTAACAATTATTCCTCGAACCCGAATGGGGTCTGAGTCAATTCGGCCAAATGGGCTATTGACTCAGAGGCCACAAGGGTGAGAGGAACAATTGTTTTAGTAAAATCCAACTAGTTGTTAAAAAAATATAGAGACAAAACAACTTTAGCTAGACAGAGCTAGACTTAAATTCTTTTTTGCCGCCAAAAAGCCAGCGCTTTTTGCTACTAGTGGGCTATAACATATAGCCTAGTTAGTAGTAGTGGCTCAACCAATCAGAATGCAGCATTGATGATAGACCACTCGCTGGATTTTACTAAAATATAATATGGTCACAGCTACCAAGATTTCTACTGTACATAAAGAGACAAATAATGGCTTCATATATAGGAGACTACTCAACATCCCATATGACATGATTATACCATTGGACAGCATGTGAAAGGATAATTTGGCACAAAGCAATTCCAGAAAAAAAGAAATAATTCTAAAAAAAAAGAACAGTAGCTGTTTTTACATCTTAAAGAACGATCAAAAACAGTTTTAAGTTACAAAGTCTGTAAAAAAGGAACTTTTTACACGCTGCATGTGGTCAAAAAGAAGAATGTGACCATTGTGAAAAGAACTGTTTGTTGAGCATGGCAGCCCAGAAAAGGAGGGCCTCCAGTAGAGAAAAGGCCAAGAGGTGATGACATGTTCAAAAAAGCGAAGCGTCACCAATGAGAGTCATTGGGAGTTAAACGGGAGATTAAATTGTCTAGAAAAGTTATCTTTTTTTGGTTGTTGTCATTGATGACAAAATGCAGGAAAAAATCCCACCTGAAAATTTCCGGGGAGGAGACGGGGAGGAGCCTTGCCAATTTTTTGCCCTGGTGTCAAATGACACAAAACCTTGATGAAAACTGGAAAGCTGACCAGCTGTTTGTTGTGGAGGAGCGTTGCTTGATGACACAAAAACAGCTGAGAGGGAGACGGGGAGGAGAGTTGCTTGATGACACAAAACAGCTGAGAGGGAGACTAACACGCTGCTAATTGTGACTTTTGCCTTTTCATTGCAAGAAAATCATGGTTTGTATGAAATTTGTTGAAATGTTGGGCACTGTGGATATCATAGGTTCAGAATCGAAAAAATTTTTCACACAGCACTAGACTTGAAGACAGCTTAAGTCAATGAGTCAATTATCTAATTATTAGTTTTATCAAATTGACTAAAAATTAAACAATGAAAAGGAACAAAAAAAATTAAACTACTGAATACCCTGGTGAATAACTTGTCCTCATTTTCCTAAGCGTCATTAATTTGCATAGACATCACAATATCAAGCAATTATGCCATTTCTAAAATAAACTTCAGCAACAAACAAGCGAACACTGTAATATGTCATCGACCAAAAATTAAAAAAGAACAAGCACGCACATTCATTAAACCTTCCGGAAAATTATTTACAGAAAAGTCAGACAGGAAGTCTTTACCCATTAGATTAAAGGGAGGAAAACAGATAACATTCTTATATAAATATTAAGAAACATTTATATCACGTTGTTCATGGGTTTAAGCTAATTAAACGTGACAAGGAAGGCGAAGGCAAAAGGCGAAGACCGGAAGAGCTCCAAATTGAGAAATAAAACACTTTGGACCTCGGCCAGTTGCTGTCGATACAAACTTGTACGGTCGATTAATATTTTAATTGAAATTGATAATTTAATCTCAATAATCGGAATAGAAAAAGGGACACGGTTGTTGCTTTACAGACCGGTTCTCCGAGCGAAGCTTACAGTAGCTCGCAAGAAAATATATCCCCTATTTGCTTATGCAAAACTAGGCAAATATAGCAGATTGCAAGTCGCAATGCGGAAATTTTCCGCCCAAAAGTGGTTGCTTTAAAATATATACAGGCCTCAAACAAGTTCGCCGTTTTTACTCCATAAATCCCACAAAGATTATTTAGGTATTAAATTTGGAAAACCCGGGACTTCTGAGTGTTCAAACGGACAGGATTTGTAGGAAATCCGCTAACATCCTACGTGCACAAATATAAGTTACATGCCCAGCTGTACACGAGCTGAGTTAAGTATTGGTCAAAGCCTTTACATTTGCAGTTCTTTTGGTAGAAGATTTATCTAGCGAGAAGTGCTTTAAACCTTTACCAACGATCTAATTATCTGTCAAATGAGAAAGCCAAAACATATCCAACATTTTTATGATCTTCGGTCAAGATGTCGCCCAGCTCAAGATTGCGATGCTGCTCACTCCTAAAAAGCTGATAATCATCGTGTATAATCGTTCGCTTATAAGGATTGTAAAGCAAGTTCTTACCTTCGACAAATGAGGGCTCCCATAGCAGATTCAGTAGAAAAACAGCGAAACTATAAAGAACCAGTGTCGCCATAACGATTGGCATCGACAGTCAATCAATAATACATCGACAGGCTAGAAAGATTTCTGAAGCTTCAACCACGATTTCCATCGTATTGGGTTGACTTGCCAAAGAAGAAAGACTCAAATGTACTGTTTAATTTTAACAGGAGAACAAGCGGAAATGCCATCAAATGAAACGTACACTGTCATCGGCAAAACTTGATCAAACGACAAGTTTTCTATACTGGTCGCGTTCGTCCAAACAGAGCAGATGCACCTTGGGGTCGGGTGGTATGGGACTTCAATGTCAATATTCTTTTGCCAATCACCTTTTCGATGAATTAATCTGCCTTTGTTAGTCTTGATTCAAGTTGTACAAATGGAGTTGATCTTGTTTACAAAGGCTGTTGTGGTTAAGAACTTAAGGCTAGTTATAAACAAACCAGCATCCTCCCCTAAAAAACCGGAAACAGCAGAAAGTTCGGCTCCCAGCCGGCTCGCAGCAAGGGGCTAAATCACCCTGTAAATAGGGCCTTGACGACCAGGTAAGAAGAATGTGACTTATTTCCGGCAAAATTGGCTGCTCCACCTCCAGGTTTTCAAACAATCGGGAAGCAAAGCCGATGATTTCAAGTTTTGCCTTAAAATTTGATTTCTGGCCTTCTAACCCACGTATGATATTTTTGGGCCGGGCATATTACGTTAAAACAAAGACTTCCTTTTCACGTCCATAAGCAGACCGCTGACCAAATGTAACTCACACTCACTTTTTAAATACCAACCAACATGGCGGAAATTCCGTGATGTGTTCAAGAAAAGTGTATTTGATGGTATGATTTCAGGTTTTCTCCGGTTAAAAACAAAGACTAAATGCTTCTTTAATAATGAAGAAACAGTTTTATCGCGTGAAGCAGCTAGCTGATCAGCGAGTTGGAAGGTAAGTCGCTTCTCTTCGTTAAACAGACAAGTGACAGTACGTGTTGTTCATTGGCCATTTCAACGGAAGTGAGCCTCCCCAACTACTGCATTTTCAGTGCGATAATTTATAAAAGAAAGGTACATTAATCTTTGCTATTTTTTTCTTCTATTCTAGGGCGGAAAAAACTGAGATTTTAACCGAGGATCTGCAGCATGTAAGTAGCTGAAGGAAACAAAAATGAAAATTAATCAGTTAAATCATCAAAATAAAGATCCTTGCAACTAAAATTTAAGTTTCGACAACAGAGAAAGTAGCCAATGTTTCATTAATTTTAATATCGTGGATAGCAAGGTGCAGGGAAAGGGAACTCCAGTTGTCAGGAATGAAAACCAAATTATAGCTGTTTTAGTAGAAACGTAGGTATGTGTAGGAAAGGAGGTGCCAGGTATTCTCCTCTTCTATGACTAATGATCATAAAAAATTGTTCTATCCGCCTTTCAAAACACTTGACTTGTTGACGTTTTTCAAGAGAATGTATCCATTGAAATGTGCTCTCCAGTTAAAATTGAAGGTAACTAATGGTTATTTGCTTTGCATATTGGAACAAAATAACTCTAATTGCAACTACCCTGGCATCAATTCCAAGTCTGACTTTCCAACCTTCCAGGAATGATGTTGGGCATTTATCATATTTCTCTTCCAGTAATGTTGCATGCCCATGCAAAAATACTCCAATGCAGTTGTCTCAGAGAGGACTTCAAGAATGTGCAAATGCAAATGCTCCGCCCATAACTATAACCAATATACTAGAAATTGGCTAGTATTACCCTTAAATTATTAATCATTTCAGCTGAGAATATCATATACCAATGGATACCTGTAGTAGGGTAAGGATGTTTAGTTTTCCTGAATGGAATATTTTTAGGTTGAGAAGACAGTGGATAAGATCAAGCATGCATGTCATGCCACAAATAAGAGACTGGCTGCTTCAATGCAGGGAACTGGTATGGACTTAGAGAAGAGATTGGTAAGAAACATTACTATATTATCCAAATAATGATATTACTTTTAAGCAACATCTTTGACTATGAATTTTTTGGTCACATCATTGCTAAACTTTCTTGGTCTGTCACAGATTCAGGAAAGATCCGAAACTGAAAGTTTCACTTTTGTAAAAGTTTACACATGTGTAAAAGATATGAGGTCCCGTAGATTATATACACTGTACCTTCTTCAAATATTAAGTGATGGCATGTTCAAAAGTAGGCCCCTGGCAATAGTGATCAGGGGCGGATCCAGGATTTTTTTTAGGAGGGGGTGCACTCGTCTCTTGCTCTACTTCAACACCAATAAACCAAATATTTTTTTTTCCAGAATACCAGTTGTATTAGAAAACCGCAGATCATCTCGGGGAGGGGGGGTGCACACCCCCTGCACCCTCCCCCTAGATCCGTCCCTGGTGATAAGTTTTGGCTGAAAACTTAGTTGCATGAGCACACTTAACCCTTTAAGTCCCAATAGTACAGTGTCTAACGTCAATTTTCTCCTAACGATATCCATACAATGTCAAGAGATTAGGTTATGAGAATTAATAAAATGATCACCTAAGGGAAAATGCCTTGATCTTTTATCAAATTCTCTCAACTTATTCATGAAGGAAATGTATAGAGATCAGTTTGGAGAATTTGTATGTGGATATTGGAGCTTAAAGGGTTAACTCTCAAGGCCTTTTGTTCCACATGGCACAAGGAGAATAAGTGAAGTTCACATTAGACTGTGACGTGCTGACAGTTGGACTACTGTTAATTTTATTTGTAACAAATGACTGTATTGTAAAATAATTTTCTTGTTGCTGACAAGTTCATTAGTAAGACTTTAATCTAGTATGTTTTCACAATTCCATCATGAGCATCCCTTTCAGTTCTGGCAGTAATTTTGATATGATAGTTAAAATGTGGGGAGCATATCTGTATGGACATTTTCTGTGATGAAACATTGCAAATCCCATTCAGATCTGGTGCAAGTGTCTCTTTTTTCATGTCTGATAAGTGTTCATTTTTTAGGATATCCTAGTAATATATTTTTTTTGAGTTATTTTATTAAATTAAATAAATTGAAGGAAAAGATGTATGAAAATAATATTATTGTATTTATCAAGGACAACATTATTGTGAGTCACTTTGGGTCTTGTATTCCAAGTCATTCCTTCCGTTTAGTATCTTTAATGTTTCTTCTTCGATTATTAATCAATTTTACAAGTATAGGTATATTTCCTCTTGTATACACAATGTATATCAACAGAAAATGACATGCAGATAACATTATTTTAATCAGAGCTGTCATGAAAATTTCAAGTTGCCAGATTGAACGATACAAGTAGGGAGGGAATTGAACAGTGGGGGACATTGTTTGGTTCTATTTTTCTTCTATTTTCCAACTAAAGTAGTTGGGGTCCCTGTTCACTGTTGCCAGGGAAAATCCCTGGCCCCCAGCCCTTAATGACACCCCTAAGTTTTAATGTACATTACATGTAATTCAAGCAACAGTACAGCTATAGTACTTAAATTCAGTTATATATGTACTAGGTAATTAATTGATATGCCCTCTAACTGTAGTAATTGCAATATTTTATTACAGTCATAGCCCTCCTTGCGACCACTCTCCTAAGCAACCCGCTCTTGTTGCAACCACCTTTTTGAAAACCATTTGAACTGTGACTTAAACTTGTAATAAAAGCTCTCATAAGAGACTGCTCTCATAAGCGACCCTGACCACTTTTGGGATTACCCGGCTGGTCTTTTCCTTTGTTTTCGTGTTCTTGTAAGCGAACACTCAGTAACCTCTCAGAGTCTTTTTCATATAAATCAACACCTTAATGAAACAGCACACTGTGCTAGTGGACTGAAAAATTGGACGTAAAGTTAAGTCCTGTCTGTATCAGATGTAAAGACACTAATTAAACATTGATTTCCCTTTTTTTTTGTATTGTGAATTATTAATGACTTTTTGAAGCTTCTATTGTTTTACCATAAGGTTGCTTACAAGGGCTCATTCTGGTAAGCGACCAGCTCTAGTTATGACCACTTTTTTTAAATTTCCAAGGTGGCCACGTACAAGAGCTTTGACTGGATTTATACTTATTTTTCAACTGTAAATATGCCAGGAAGATAGTAAATTATTATTAGTTTTATACTCAGGGTAGTGCTGTTTGTTGTAGGCTGTATTATTCCTCAAGTCATCATATTTACGAGCCTCAGATGATATTGCTATGCTGTGGCCTCAGATGCGATCTGAACTCATGGTAATCACCTGCAATATCTAACGTCCTCATACAACCAGCACGTGTTACTGAAACAACTGCTTTAACTTTGAATCCTCTAGAAACCTAAAATCTGTAAGTTATACCCAAAAGTTCAATCGTCCATGTGATGTGATTATTATTATAAAATTATACAGTGCAGTGAACTTGAAAAACTTGAAAACACCATAATTTATATTCAGGGCTCAAAACTAGTAGTTCACCCTTTCAAGACTTTTAGTGTAAATACAAAGGACTTTGTTCTTGTATTACTGTACCAAGTTTTAACAGAGGACTTTCTGGGAGCCAATTTTAACTAGAAACATATCTTACTTACTGGCAGCCACTAGGCTTTAGTAAAATATTCAGAATTTACCCTCACAATCCAAGCACTCAGTGCATTGTCCCAGTTTTACACCATCAGAGTCCATTATGTTGCTCTTTTAACCTGTGGTTTTTGTTCCATAAGGTTATAACTAAGTGGCATAAATGGTCTGTAAATATGTGATAGTCACTAACATAACTCAGTCTTGATGATAAGTAACCATACACTTAAATCTTGCACTTAATGTTTGTCACCCATGATGTTTCCCTATGTTTCCGTTTCCCTCTTGAAACACTGTTGTCTGCAGCATAGCAATATTTTTATCTGAGATTCCTAAAACATTGGTTAATTAAATTACCTAATATTATTTGGAAGTCTGCCACCAAGTGATCCATATCACTTTATCAGTCATCATTTGCTTCTACAGTGATGTATGCACTCTACTGTAAAGTGAAACCCTGTTATTGTGACCACCTGGGGGTATAATAACCTCATAGTATGGTAATAGATGTAACAATTATACATACCTGCCTTTAAGCCAAGGAGCATGGACTTACAAGTAGTTTTGTGCTAGTTAATTTTAACCTTTGTTATTAGGAAGCAGAAAAAAATGACCTTTCAGAGAAGGAAGATTGACAATAAAATTTTCAAGATGGAAAGTTTACCAAGTGGTTTCATTCAAATGGTGAAAAATACTGACTCAAATATACTAATCCAAATGTAGTAATGTGGTGGGCATGGAAATAAGTGGTAATAAGCAGGTGTTCAATCCTCTGTACAAATCACTAGCAGGGTTATTTATTCAAGTATAATCATCAACTCTCTTGAAATGAATACCCCCAGAAAATAATTATGGACACCTTGAGTTGGTCCCTCTCATTCATCTGTAATTTACTTTGACCCTCTATAAAGTGAACATCTCTACAATGACTGTATCTACAGCGGACACTTTGCCAGTCCCAGTGGTCTCCTTCTTAGAGTAAAATCAGGATCAGACTGCTGGGTCACTGGGCCACTAGGCAGCAGCAGGCCGTGGGCTGCAGGCTGTGGCCCCCTGGGCTGCAGGCCTGCTTTCAGTAAAACCCATATCTGTACTAAACAAACTATTTCGATTTGGATCGAGTGATAGCTGTAAAACCTTTTGAAAAGTGTGACATTTAGATCCTAGAAGTTGCCCTTTTTCAGGGCTTTAACATTTTTTCCCAGTGCAACTTATCTATTGGCCAACCTTTCAAAGCATGCATAGATTATGGTTAATTTAATGTCTTTTCCTTGTGTTTTATTTTAAAGAGGAAACTTCACCAGACTGCTTTAGCTCAGAGCATGCTAGAATCAAGCCAGCAGTTGGGAGAGGGATCTCTTTTGGGGTAAGACAGTCAGACTATTGTTAGCCTGCATAGCAGGGTGCCAGTTATTCTTTTTAAAGGCTGCGTGAGGGGAACACGCAAAGGGGAGAGGAGGTGCTTGCAGCAAAGGCCCTAGTTTTCCTTGTTGTACGTTTTCTGGCAGTCCGTAGAATGCCTTTGTCCAAGAATGCCTGTTGGGAGTAAAGCGAACAATTCTTGCAAATGCATTATTTGTCAGTCAACAGAAATTCGAGTCTTCTAGCTTGTACAACACACGTGCAGCATGACAAACGGCTGAACAACTGTTTGAATCATGCTCACAAGAAGCTAAGCTTGATAAGATTTTCGATTTTGTTTTTCATTTTTGAAAATCATTGCACCGTCTTGGCAGTGTTACCAACTGGGTTTGGAGAAAGTGTAATTTTTGAGTTATTTATTTTGGGATGCAACAGACCGGAACCGTCTTTACAAGCATTGTCGTTATTTCCCCGCTGCAAAGCATAATTCAGGATCAAGCAGCCGAGGTACCTTCTACAGGAATGTCAGCCAGTGACTTGAAAGAAAAACTAGACTGTTTATAGCAAATACATCGACAGAGGTGTAACATCGTATGCGTCAGCTGATGAAGCGGTGATAGATAAAAGATTTATGAATTTCATTATTAAAATCCCTGTCATTGATCAACACTGATGAATATAGCAGTGTCTTTGGTTGACAAAAGGCTGGATGGGACTAGGGTAAGCCTGTTTGTCATGTTTGCTCCGAATTTAAAATTACATCATTTGCTTTATGCAGGTATAACAAAAATACACAAGATTTAGTTTTCCCTTTGGGTCTGATGTCAGTTTCATATCGTTAGATGATCTGCTTTCAATCAATTTTTTGTCAGTTGATGCAGCGCTGTCACGTTATTAAACTGGGGGCGTAAATGGAAAACCAAGGTCTCCTCTGCTGGCGCCTCCTCTCCTTTTCTCCCCTCGTGCATCCTCGAGATTTCTTCCTTCGCCCTAAAAAACAAACCAGTGCCTGCTACGACTAGGCTAGACTATTGTTATGTGAAGCATGATTATTTTTCTCCTTACATAAAACAAAACAATACTGCGGTAATATTTAGATGTGGATTCAGTGCTCTGAACCTGTAAAATCTAGGTGCCCAGCATATGATTTGTATGGAAAATTAAGATTTGCTAGTCACCTGAGAGCCAAAGTTGGGAGCCAAGGGCCATCGGGCTCTGCTAGGGCACAGCCCTGGTCCCACAAAAAAGTTCTCTTTTCAGCCATATAATAAATCCTTTATTTAAAAGCTGGTTCAGCCAAGAACGCCTCATACTGCCGTCATTTTTTTTTTTTGCATTTTTATTGACCTCGACTTTGTCTCAGGCCATTAAGATGCCAAAAAAACTTGGCCAATATCCAGCCATCTAGGCCTCATGCTTGGTCAATAATGTATATTATATAAATTAATAACATCTTTGTTACTAATTGTTATTTTTTGTCATGACAGTGACGTGATGCAAAACGCTGGTAGTGTGCAGGCATTGCTTGCCAGGGAACTTGCAGAGTATGAAATGCAAGTGGAACAAAATGTTTTGGCTCCTATGACTTCTCTTCTTGAGGTAATTAAAATCATGAACATTTAATGAATATATTATATTATTTGACAATGGTTTCTCATTGTACAGTCGACTCTCCCACAGTGGCCACTCCTCATAAGAGACCACTTCCCGTCACCACTTTCAGTTTGTAAATAACTGTTTTGTTTCTCAGTCAAATACTGTTTTAAAAGCTCTCTTGTAAGTGACCACTGCTTAAAGTTCTTAAATGACCTCACCATGCATGCCTGCATTTTAGGCCAGATCAATATTTGTCATATTCTTTTGTTTTCTGTTTCTGGTAAGCAACCACCCAGAATGATCATGTATGATGTTAAGAAAACCGTTGCTCAAATGTCACAAAAGTTCAGTTTTTAGTAACACTGACCAAGCATGCTGACAGATTTAATAATTATAGCTGTTGACTTACAGAGAGGATGGCTTTAATACAATGCATGGGTAAAAAGTGGATTGTTACATTTGATGCAAAATGTTTCAACACTTCCAAGCGCTATTTGATGTGAAACTTTATTGCAAAATTTCTATTTGACTAAAGGCGCTTTCCATTTGTCAGAACTGACCGGCCAGACCATTCCCATCGTAAATATAAGAATTTCACTTTTCAGGGGCGAATCCAGGATTTTTTTTAGGAGGTGGTGCACTCGTCTCTCGCTCTACTTCAACACCAATAAACCACATAGTTTTTTTTTGCAGAATACCAATTGTATTAGAAAACCGCAGGTCATCTTGGGGGGGGGGGAGTGCGCACCCCCTGCACCCTCCCCCTAGATCCGCCCTTGTTTTTAATCAAAACTATCTAGCCAGATCAGTCGAATCCTAAATAGTATGCACAAAGGAGATGGTTTTTCAGCAACAACCCTTAGGAAAAAGCCGATTTTATTTGCTAACTGACTGGTCCGGCCGGCCAGTTCTGACAAATGGAAAGCGCCCTAAGTTTAGAATGTAAGGTAGTAACTTTATGTGATTACATTAATCAGTTAACAGTTTGAGATTATTTTCTTAATTTTTCCTGTAGATGACCACTTCCTCTAAGCAGCCACTTTGTTGTGCACCAAGACATTAGGGTGGTCGCTTACAGGAGAGTTGACTGTATTCAACCACGTGTCTGTTATCGGCTAGCTCTGAACAATCTATTCCCTCAGCTGCAACTGTACATTTATGCCTTTGTTATTGCCATGATTATAAGTACATTTTTTTATAAGTGTATTATTTTAGCCCAGTATCATTCTTCTTTTGACTATCATTAAGATGAAAATATATGAATATTAATAAGAACTTTAGCATTAACAGTGTAATTTATGTTAATGGTGCAAATATTGTGTAATTTATTATTTACTTGCAGAGTGACAGGCTTCCTGCATATTAATCTGACTAATTACATGTACATGTATATGTCTATTCAAAACGATATTGTCTTCTTTGAACATAGAATGAGGTACCAAATATTACCCAAACAAAGAAAAAATTGACGAAGACAAGACTTGACATGGATACTGTAAAATCAAGGTAAATCCAGGATACTGTACTTTCCAATAATTTTTTAAAAATAATGATGAGACCCCCCAAAAAGTCGATAACCCTTTAAGTCCCAATAGTGACCAAGATCAATATTATTTTCTCTTAACAATATCCATACATTGTCAAGAGATTTGGTTATGAGAATTAATAAAATGAACACCTACTGCTTTGCTTTGATCTTTTATCAAATTCTCTCAACTCATTCTTTAAGGAAATATATAAAGATCAGTGTGGAGAATTTGTATGTAGACATAATGGGACTTAAAGGGATAATGGAAAGGTATAAATAAGGCTACTGAGGATTGAATTGTGGTGTAATGAACTTAAATCATAATGGCAAGATCTGTGGTTGTCAAGAACAGCCATTGAATCTACTCTTTTTGATAAGCAGAATTCATGATGAATAAAACCTAATAATGAATATATCTCTTGGTAATAAAGTAATAATTAGTTAATAATGATTAATTAGTAAATTTTCAATTACACCACAAGGTAATTAATATTACTTGTTTTATTAACTGGTTGTGACGGAGTGAAATTTTATATTACACGCAGTGTAATATTAAATTTCACTTTGTCAGATCAGCTTGAATAACAGCTTTTCACATGAATTTGTCTTACAGTACTTCTGTAATTTCTGTAATTTTAATCCCCCCCCCCCCCCCCACCCCCCCCCCAAAAAACTACAGTTGCCCTTCGGGCAAACTGAATTCACTAGTTAAATAAATTGCAAAATCCACTAGTCCCGGGCTATCAGACACAACTTTCTTTGTATGCTGTAAACACTAAGTATAAGTTAAAGATTGCAGTTTCAAACAAATGCCAGGTTCACCTGGTCCCCTATCGAGCCATTCTTTGTGCCGTCACAACCATAGGTTTGCTTGACGATCCTTAGAAAACTGGAACTCAGTTGTTTATATCAAAGTATTAGTTGCTAAAAATTTGTTGCAAAATATTAACGTTGTTCCAGCTGCCGAAAATTATAGCAAAACTTGACGTTTCATATCTGGATCCATATTCAGTTTTCTTTTCCGGTCAGAAAGGCCATTGTTAAAAAAAAAACACTTGTACAGTATATTCACTGTACAATGTACAAGGCTGTGCTCTACAAAAAATTGAAGGGAACCCAGTGCTCTGAACTTGCAAAATCCAGTGTGCCCAGCATAATTATGATTTCTATGAAAAAGCTAAGATTTTCTAGTCACCCAAGAACAAAAGTTAGGCACCATGGGCCACCGGGCTCTGCTAGAGCACAGCCTTGACTGTACATTCATTTCGTTCTTGTTTAGGTGGCTGGCTGCTGTCAAGGTGTCTCACGGAGCAAATAAAGACATGCTGGCAGCTGCCGCAAAAGCAGATGCATTGAAGGAGGAATATGAGGAAGAAACTACCAAGTTTGAAGCTTGTCAAGTAAGCACATTTCTTTATTGCAAATCAAAATTAATTTTTTTACCGAATGCAGTTATGTCAAAATAGTAATAAAAATTAACTGATATTTTTATTGATATTAATTACAGGTTTATAAATTAATAAAAATAAATAAAATAAATGATGATTTGGAGGTAGCACATCCACAAAGTGGTTCTTTGTCTACCTGATTCCTGGTCAAATTGGAATTTGGAAGTGTTGGTTTTTGATGAGAGGGGAAAACTGGAGTACTCAAAGAAAAACCTCTTGGAGCAAAGGAGAGAACCAAGAACAAACTCAACCCACATATGGCGTTGATGCCGGGATTTGAACCTGGACCACATTTGTGGGAGGCCAGCGCTATCACCACTGTGCCATCCCTTGCTCCCCCAAGGGTTTATAAGGTGTTAATGATAATAATAATAATGAATATTTATACAGGATAGCCCTTCAGTGCAAGAGCACTGTTATCAAAGGGGTCCTGTCATAATAACATAATTGAGTGTCTATTCAGGGTTTTCAGGAAGAGTTCTTGTATTGGGAGAAAGCTGTAATGTTACAGGAGAATATTTTGAAAGAGGTTCCACATCTGAATACAATAGTCATATAGGCTACTGAATGTTAGCCGGAGAATTCTGCGTAGTACATGGAGAATTATCTGATTTCCGATGCCTAATGAATGCCCTGCTATTGCTTAGACTCTGGAATTGCAAGATCTTACAAAACACAACAACTGCTATTTTCAAATATGTATTGGATCCAAAATAACATTATTAATAATTAAATATTAAAAACCTGACCCTTCTCAATGTCACTTTCCCGACAACCTACCACTGCCAAGGATGGGTAACTTTCTCGGTATGGTGGGTGACCTGTGCCTCAAGGACTCTCATGAAAAAATGAGTTACAGCATAAACCCAAGTTTTGTCAGCACTAAGATTTTATCTAGTGATGTAAGAGTTGTCTTTGTTTTCATACTTAAATGCCTTTCCACTAGGGCAACAGCCACCAGATTATGTCCAAGCTGCCATGCAAAACTTATCTTTCCACAACGTCCACTTAAAAGCAAACAACATCAAAGCTGATGTACTCACTGTCAGTATTTATACTTGCTTTGTTTTGTTGACATTTTTGTTCTGTACTTTTGGCTTCTGTTAAATAATTGACAGGACTGAAACCGACGCTTAACAAACAGTACGATTCAATTCGCGCCAAATTATTTGTTTAGAGTAGTTCTTGTTAACATTGTTTTATTTCCATTGTTTTTTGACTTTATAAATATTTTTAGCACTTTTTACATTTTCACATATTTTATCACATTTTAGCGTTCACCACATTTTTGTCTATTATAACTTGTTTTTAACTTATTTATGCTAATTTAGAGAACTTTTATACACTTGAAAATGACCTCGGAGGAGAAACGTCGTCGTTTTTTTATCGCTAATATTTATCTCAAAATCGATTTCTAAGAAATTACTTAATTTTTTTCATGTATTTTTTATCAAATGATTTTTTGACTAAAAATAACTCTTTTGCAAAAATTTATCTCAAAACTCCCTACAGCAGCCACCTCTCTACAGTGGTTTTCTGAACTTTCCTTGAAATTTAGTTCAAATTAAGGTTCAGAGGTACCTGTATGCATCATGGTTACCAGCAAGGAGAGAGATCTGTTAAATTGACATTAATTTTTTTTAATCGCATTAAGTATATGTATGTTATTAATATCAAATGACTTTTTGACTAAAAATCCTATACTCTTTTGCAAAAAGTTACAGTTGCCATTTTACACCCACCCCTACCTTAACTCCCTACAGCAGCCACCTCTCTACAGTGGTTACGTTTCTACATTGACCACTTTCCTTGATCTCTAATTTCATAGTTCAAATTAAGGTTCAAAGGTACCTGTATGCATCATGGTTACCAGCAAGGAGAGAGATCTAACCACGTGTACATTACAGACTAAAATCACACCCCCGGGTCCATAAAACTGAACTAGAGTACATGTAAAGCGAAAAAAAAATTTTCTGGTTGCTCAAAAGAAGGGTGACATCAGTACTGTTAATAAACTACCAGTATACAGAACATAACAGATTCTTTTATGCTCTGTATACTGGTAGTTTATTTGCTATGTATAGAGTTGTACACCCCTGTATGTATTTTTTTCATCGTATTTTGGTTTTGTTTTGTATATATTGGGCACATTATATGGTTATTGTTTAAGCACCACTAAAATTACTAAATTATTATTGATATGTTTATTAATATTATTACAATAATAATAATTATAATAATTGTTGTGATTATTATACTTTGGTTGACAGGACACTCTTACCACAGAACTTTTGAAGTTTGTCTCCAGAGAAGGAGAATATTCTAATTGGATAATCAAGGTGAATTTCCAAATTTTCCTAGTAGTGTTACACTGTACTTGTTGCATGTCATAGCTGTGAGTAAAATTTGCAAAGAAATAATTTTTCCTATTGTAGTTATCATTGTAAATAGTCAGAAGTATATAACCCTGAAATGCTTCTGAAATAGTTTAATGTAACTGCCATTGCATTATTGCCTTTCCATTAACTCTTCAACCTCCTCCTTGCCCATCTCTCCCAGGTTATTTTAAGAAGAGGTTAAATCAAGAGTGTTATAAAGAGAAGGTTGATTCCTTTATCTTCATACTAGTAACGTTTTATGTTTCAGTTTATTGAAGCACAATTGGACTATCACAAGAAAGCTGTGATGACCCTTGACAGCATTTTGCCGACCCTTCGGTCTCTTCTCGGTAAAGTTACATCTCGTAGTGAAAATAAAATCCACAGCATACTTGTAACTTACAATTTTCAGTTTTGGGGATTTTTTCACTAGATACTGAATTTGCAGTTGCTGTTTGGCATATTTTCTCCCTATTCTAGCCTCGCCCACTTTTGCAATTCTTTAATGGCTTGTCATGCAATCCCATTATTTTTGTACGTAAGAAAGGCTCAACAAAACCTTTAGAACATCTGTGTGGGTGGCTGTCTCATCTCTTGCTTACAGATAGCTTTCTGATACAATTTGTTTTAGTCGGTCCATGAATACAGCTGTTCATCGTAATACATTGCTAACAGTACAAGGGAAGTCCTTGTCATGAGTCAGGGCACAAGAAAAGTAATGTCCGATAGCCTGAGGCTAGCGAAGCACCCATTGGGCTATGTGTAGCATGTTTTAATAATTACAAGCTGCAAGACTGCCAAGTAATTTTCCCATGGTGTGATAAACTAAATAATAGTGAGAAGGGGGTTGGTTTGCCTGTATGACTGCTTGTAAACTTCAGCAACAGCTCACTTCAAGGCTGGGAGGGATTTTTAAACTTTCATTTTGCCCTGCTACTGGTGAGTTGCTGCATTTGCATGCAAAATGGAAAGATTCTCTTAGACCATTTTTAAACATTAATTTTATTCTGTCAGTAAGATAGCAAGTAAACAGGCCCTTTACAGCTAGCCATTCACGTGGTACAAAACTGCAATCCTGGATAGCAAAAGTCGCACTGGGACAAGACAAACAAAGGAAATTACCATTTAAAATTATGTATGGCTTTTGTTTGTCTTGTCCCAGTGCGACTTTTGCTATCCAGCATGGCAGTTTTGTACCACCTGAATGGCGAGCTGCAAAGGACCTACTTAAGTATCGTTGTTTAACATATCCTGTAATATCTGTAAGTACCACTAGCTGTGGGGGCAGGAAAAAAATTAATTTGAATTTTTAAAAACTATTGAAGCTTCGTATGATTCACACGATTCCTCTGTCTTACCACATTATGTCTTATTTTTTATGATCATCTAATTATTAATATTTATGATACAACTGAAGAAGTACCACCCAACCTTAAGCCTTCAGCCCAGTCTCAATAAAAAAGTAACATTTTTAGCCAATCAAAAGCTGACATTATCTCTCACACTGTTTTTATACCTAGATGAATCCGAACTTCAGCCAGTGTATGGAGGATCACTTGAAGATCACCTGAGAATCCATGAAAGAGAGATAGCATTTGTGATTGAGGAATGTGTCACTTTCCTTTACAGAACAGCTATGAGTGTTCAAGTGAGCCCTCTTTTCATATTGCTGTTTTTAACTAGAGAATAAAATTCCCCTTTTTCTTGTATGTTTTGGTTTTCAAACATTCCCTCCACTTCATCATAGCATCTCCCACTCTAATCTCATCATAACCTGCTACAGTTACTGCGGGGCTAAACACTGTAATGTAACAAGATAGGTTTACATTAATCAATAATTTTTTTTATTTGTAGGGTCTTTTTAGACTTGCTGGAAGTGCTGTCAAAATCAGAAAACTTACAGTAAGCTTGAACACTTTTACCCCTTGGGCTACTTTGGGGCTTGTGTTATAGTAGCCTGTGAATACAGCCGTTTCTCCTAGCTCCTCGCCGCCAGGGACGTTTCGCCAGGAGGAACGTCTGCGACTCAGCGACAGAAATTCCATACTTATGACGTAAATCAATGTTTACACGATAAATCCGGTGGTCATGGGGTTTCAAACGCAAATTTGTTTATGTTTTATGTTTTATGTTTCTCCTGGTCGATTATGAAAAAGTTTTGTGATCTCTTGTGAACGAGCTGCAGCAAAACTCAGATGGTTTTTCTAAAGATCAGAAGAATATATTCTAGGAATATTGACTGTTTTGTAGTAGATTGATCATGTTTACATTTGACCTTTGGGGCCTTATGAGTTTTGTCTGTCATTCGTAAACAATAGGTAAAACGATATAACTACTACGTCTACCAATCATTGCTCCTGACCAGATTCCGGACAAATTTTACGTCATCAGTATGGAATTTCTGTCGCTGAGTCGCACAAGTTCCTCCTGACGAAATGTCCTTAGCGGCGAGGAGCAAGGAGAAACGGCTGTATTAGCAGGCTAGTGTTATAGATACGTTCAGTAAACCTAAAAGCGGAGCTCCCATACGGAAACAAGTTCAATTACCTCTAAAAGAGTTAAAACATTACCATTGGAAAAAGTTGAGTGGTGCCTTCTTTTCAGGGGTGGGTATTCGGGGACCAGACAAGCAGCGGGCTCAACATATATTTGACAAACAAGAATTTGTCTGTTCACTGGTATTTTCTCAGTGACACACGAATGGGGCAGGGTAATAACAAATATTTATTTCTTTTCTTTGTGCTTTGTTTGTTTGTTTGTTTGTTATAAAGGCTGAATTTGATGCGGGCTTAGTAGACTTGTCAGAATTTGAAAACGATGTTCATATTGTAACAGGTAAGTAGACTTAGTATGAAAAAGAGATGCCTGGAAGCTACATATTGGTTACAGAATTTAACAATAATGTTTAATACTTTCCCATTTCTCAGAGCTAGTTACTGTGGTCAAAAGTACTTTCACAGGGTTCTGTTTACACTAGTTCCAACATTAATTCTGTGGATGAAATAATTTCCTGAGAGCTGGCCAAAAGCAAATGAAACCTATTTGGAAGTACTTTCGCATGATACCACTTATTATCGCTAATAAACTGTTACTAAGTCGAGGTATCAAAGCAATAGGGTGATCATTCTAATGAAAGCTAATAGTAGTGGTGGCAGTAGTAGTGCTGATTTTCATAAACTTCAGTTTAGGGCTGGCTTTGAGTGATTAATTGTGGGAACTTGTTGGAGTTGATCACAGTTATAAGACATGCATAGTATACTGTAGTCTTGTTTAAGTCTCTTGCGTCGAGTCCTTCTTTACTTCACCTTATGTCTAGGTTAGTTGCAAGTACAAAGAAGCTAACCTGTGGGTAAATCTTGGTACGCTGCGCCAGTCGCTTAAAAAAAGACTTTTATAGGGGTAACACAATCACTGGTGACCCAGTAGTTTTCGCTGTGGCCAATTTGAACTCATGACTAGTGAGCACATTTTAATCCAGCTAGCGGTGAAGGCGGACATTGAATTTGGAGCCTCCGAATTGAAATTCCAGCACTCTTAGACTAATGAGAGACTGCTTGAGAAGTGGCGGTATACAAGTGATTGCTGCACTATAGATGGGAAGAATCATTCAATTCTGTCGATTTTTATATCGATTCCTGAAAACAACATGCAGAGTTAGTTTCTCCTAAAATATCACTTATTATTTCCTTCTTAGGTGCATTAAAACAGTATCTGCGGCAGCTTCCAGAACCCCTTATGACTTCTCACCTTTATAATGAATGGATAAAAGCTTCAGCGTAAGTTTTAGTCTCTTTGATACTTTGGTAAATCCCCCAAACCTTATTTCAACCCAAACGTTTCAGATATAGCATTGTAGTGTGTTACCTATTATAATTTGTGATCAAGGATTGGCAGGCCGTTTAGACGGCCACAACGACAAGGGTATCGAGGAAGGCACAAGAGAGCAGGTGTGCAAGCGACGACAATGCCTCTTCACGGTCTGTTTATATTATGGAGCATTTCTCTACCGTTGTACCTGTAAAACGTTGACATTGTCAACGATCAAATTCGGGGAGTTTGGAGAACGTGAACAAGCGATTGATATTTTGAAATAAGTCTCCGGCACGGATTCAACTTTTGGACTACTCCATCAGACGAAGTCGCTGAATAAACGTGAACCAAATTGCCAAAAGCAAACTAGATTTTTTTGCCAATAACATCTTTACTTAGCGTTGTTCTTGGGGGAGATGGTGCCATTTTGCACACTTTTGGATAGTAGTATGCCGCTGTGACTCGCGGATTTGGACCCCATTTTAACCTAGAATACAAGATCGTGTTCTTCACTTAGCTCTTAATGGCCCCTCCGGACTACTTTTGCCTTGCTCCCTTGTTATCCCTATGTAGGTATGCGTTTCATAATACTACGAGAGTAACAGCCTCCTCCACTCACCCCCAGAGAGGTGGCCATTACCATGACAATGTGGATCTGTTGACATGGTGTTAGTAACTGCCCTTCATCCACCCCCCCCCCCCCCCTCAAACCCAGAGGTGACCGTGTGGAATGGTGTGAGAAACAGTCCTCCACCCTACCCCTGGGAGGTGACCATGTTGATATGGTGTGAGTAACAGCCCTCCTCGCACTCACAGAGAGGTGACCATTACTATGTAAGTATACCCCACAGAGTTGACCGTTACGACGTAGTTATGTATACATGGTGTAAGTACCAACCCTTCACCCTACCCTAGAGAGGTAACCGTTACCATAATGGTATGGTTACATGGCGTGATTAACCGCACTCCACCCTGTGTGTCTTACCATGCAACCCCCAAATTGTTTCCCGTTCGGATCCTTACAGGAAACGGTTTTTCTGTAATCCACAGCATTCAAGATAATGGTACCAAACTGCAAACGTATTGGACTATTGTGGAAAGGATGCCAGCACTGTATAAAGCCAATCTTAGGTCAGTAGTAACCTATGGTTGAAAGCCCATATATTTTAATATTTCAGCTTATGTAAATTCACTAAATTGCACTTCATTGTCGTTGTAGTAATTTTTAACAAGCAAGTAAGTTCCAGGCTAAGTAATTTTCAGTGATGATGACATTTTACTTCCTACTGGCCTGATTTTTAAATATAATTCTCAGTCTTTTTCTTATTTTCTCCTTCGTTAGGTACTTGATCAAGTTTCTTGGTAAACTCTCTGAAAATAGTGAAGTGAACAAAATGAATGCAAGTAACATTGCGATTGTCATAGCACCAAACATCATTTGGTCACCAGAGGATGAAGGGTATGTCAATTTTTCTCGTTCTCGTCCATCAAAAGCAAGTTAGCCTCTTTACCGTGAATGCTACAGTCTCAGACAAAAACCTTGAAACACTTTGGAAAATTTGTTCCCTTTCGTTTCCCTCCTTCCTTTTGCGATGTTATTGTAGCCACGTAACTTTGCAGTGACATCTCAACATTGCAGTTGGAAAGGGACGTGCATAGGTGTTTCAAGGATTTTGGCGAAGATTGTAGACTACGAACATCTGCTCTTTCTTCTTGGCCCGTCAAGCAAAATGCGCTTACCTCGCTGTTTGTCCAGCTCACATCTCTTAGCGCCGTCCCCACCATCTTAACGCCCGGAACAGGCCAGGCGTCTCTAGATTTTTCTCCTGTTGCTGACGCCCTCGCTTCTGGCTTCTCGCGGTCTTGGGTGCGCCTCCAGTATTTGACGAAAAAAAGAGACTTCTCACAGTCTACGTGCAGGCTGAGTTAATTTTGTGTCTTCTTTTGCAACGGCAGTAAGAGCATTACAAATCAAAATAATTAATAAAGGAAAATTAAATGATCCCTGTGCAAGTTCCTTTGACATTTTTTCTACTTGTCTGCCGTTCAGCCGTTCTCGAACCAACGACTGTCAATTTTCCTTCTCTGTGTGTATCTGAAAGTCTTCCGGTAAAAATTCAATCACTTGAGGCAAATTTCCCCACAGAATTTTTACACTTGTAATGGTTTTATTAAATTGACCCCTGAGCCAAATTCACATCAGATTATTTTCATGTCTTAAGATGGTTTCCCTCTTTGCTTTTTTTTAGTGGTGTCAATGTCCAGCACACTGGTGTCCAGTCGTCCATTGTAGAGGCTTTAATTCAACATCATGACTGGTTCTTTCCGGAAGGTTGGTGGTGGTTCTGTTCTTCAATACATTTAATGTGTGCGCGGTCAGCAGTTGTATAATATCTTAATTAAAAAAGAAAACTCGCAAGTAAGTTTACTCAGTTTTAGGTCATTTTTACGGGCCTTTTGTAAATTTTAGCCCTAGAAAAAAAAAATGACGGTGACTTGTACTTGGGAAAATAACATTGCAAGTTCATTCTCGACCTGTAATTTCTGTGGTTCAAAAATTAAGCCTAGAAGTTCGGGGCATAAAGGATGTTAATTCTTGTAGATGTTTCTCAAATAGCGGTAGTTGTCATCCGTCATCAGTAGTAGTTTTGCCGTTTTTGAAATATTTTTAGGTAGAAGTTTAGCTATTTCTTCTTCGCAAAACGTGTGACATTTGCTGCCGTTTTCTCCAGCTTCACAACAGCTGAGCTACCGCACCTTCTGATCTCACCTTTTCCTAACAATTACCCGTTAAAGTGCCTCAAAGTGACATAACGTTTTGATCATGGTGGCACTTTAAGGATACAGTAGAATCCCGGTAACTCGAACTCTGAAGGGAGACAAAAAACAGTTTAATTCGAGTTAGCGGGAATGCGATTTATCGGGGTACATTTCCGTGAAATGTTGATTAAGGGAAAGGAAATTTAGTTTGAGTTAGCGAGGAACTCGAGTTATCCGAGTGCAAGTTATCTGGGATCCACTGTATATGCAGGCGTCTTCCAAATTTGGTCAACGGTAGCTGGTTGTGAGGAATCAGCCAGGGGATTCAAACTAATCAGAAACGAGAAAATATTTTGAACGGATAATGATACATTTTAATAGTCTATTTCAGGCTCTCATTTAGTCGGGACAACTGAAAAGAAAAGTGTGCGGGAAAAAAACGGGCGACGAGACGAGGGCCTAGGATGAAAGGGGTCTGTAGTTTTATAACCTTTTTTTTTTATTCTGACTGATCAATAGAAATTGACTTCTCTCGTAAAACTGTTGTTGAAACGAATGGTTCTGGACAGCCGACGGGTGTTAAGAGCTCACTGTTGAACCGGAAGGAGTCGGAGGAATTCAAGAGTGTCACTGGTGGTTTCTTAGAGGAAGTTGTCAGTCTTATAAGTCTTAAGGGTACTGACAGTACTGACAAGTAAGTGTGTTTAGACGAGATTGGTGACCATAGCGTGACTCACGATAATTGGTGTAATCAGTTTCAATTCTACAGTCTAACCTCTTCTTCTGTATTTACTCGATTAAACGCCGCTTAAATTTTCAAAATTTCTGATGTGGCGTGTTTTAGAGTCTGGCGTTTATTTCAAAAACACATTTCTTAAATCACTGAAAACCGTTGCTAGGAAAGCTATGTAAAGATTCCAGTGTCTCTCTTATTTTGCTGCGGTACAATCATAAATGTCTGGATGCTGTTTATCACCAAGTGGTACCGAGTTTTTTCCTCTAGTCATCTTACTATCGTCGCATTCTTCCGACCGGCTGCGGCGTTTATTGGTAATTTTACTTCCATCTGCGACTTTTAATCGAGTAAATACTGTAGGCGAGACATGTATCCACAAATGCGCGCATGTGCGGTTTATGCTCACCAAGTGCCCCCTAGCCTCAGTCCTCACCTAAACGTGTAGTCTCCTAAGCAACCGTTTTTGTCCCGACCGGTTACCTTGAAGACTAGCTAAACGTGAGCAATTCTATCAAACATATTAGTAGTCATGCTTCAGCAAAATTAAGCCCCGTTGGTGTATGGGTAAAGGTATAGGTATAGGTAAATCATTGATATGCATAAGGGTCGAGTGTATGACGTCACCCATTGTTTTATCCTAGAGAAAAAATGCGTTCCTCCATATTAATTAAGTGCCTAGTCAGTGTCTTCCTGCATACTAATTCTATGTAGGTTTACTAATGACCGTCTCTCTACTTCAATAGAAAAAATAGGCTTGCCTGGGCTGGCCCGTGAAGTAACTTGAGTCCTGTTTTCGGATAGTGTATTAAAAGGAAAATAGGAATAAACGAAGCAATCAGCTAGCAACGCGAGAAACGGCTTCCTATATCTTATTTAGCGCTAAAACTCAGACATATAAAGAAAACACATACTGAAAATGGAGTTAAAAAGTCTTTATTTCAACTTCTTTTTAAGCACTAAAACTCGGATATATAAACAAAACACACGCACATATACACAAAGTGGAGCTGAAAACTCTCTATTTCAATTTTGTCTGACTATTACAGAACTGTTTTCGAACAGTTATCTCGAGGAAATGAAAAACTATTGAAGTCTCAACGTTTCACGCGCCGTTAGTCAGATAATTATGCGAATTCACAAGTCCAAAGTTGTTACCCCTGTTACCCTTGTTACCCCATGTTACCCCTTGTTACCCCCATGTTACCCCTTGTTACCCCATTTACCCGTTGTTACCCCTTGTTACCCTTTGTTACCCCTTGTTACACCTTGTTACCCCTTGTTACCCCTTGTTACCCTTTGTTACCCCATTTACCCCTTGTTACCCTTGTTAACCCTTGTTACCCCTTGTTACCCCTTGTTACCCCTTGTTACCCCTTGTTACACCTTGTTATCCCTTGTTACCCTTGTTACCCCTTGTTACCCCTTGTTACCCCTTGTTACCCTTGTTACCCCTTGTTACCCCTTGTTACCCCTTGTTACCCTTGTTACCCCTTGTTACCCCTTGTTACCCTTGTTACCCCTTGTTACCCTTGTTACCCCTTGTTACCCTTGTTACCCTTTGTTTTGTTACCCTTTTTGTTACCCCTTTGTTACCCCTTGTTACCCCTTTTGTTACCCCTTGTTACCCTTTTTGTTACCCCTTGTTACCCATTGTTACCCATTGTTTTGTTACCCCCTTTTGTTATCCCCTGTTGTTACCCTTGTTACCCTTGTTACCCTTGTTACCCCTTGTTACCCCTTGTTACCCCTTGTTACCCTTGTTACCCCTTGTTACCCTTGTTACCCCTTGTTACCCTTGTTACCCTTGTTACCCCTTGTTACCCTTGTTACCCCTTGTTACCCCTTGTTACCCTTTGTTACCCTTGTTACCCCTTGTTACCCTTGTTACCCTTGTTACCCTTGTTACCCCTTGTTACCCCTTGTTACCCCTTGTTACCCTTTGTTACCCTTGTTACCCTTTTGTTACCCTTGTTACCCCTTGTTACCCTTTTGTTACCCCTTGTTACCCCTTTGTTACCCCTTGTTACCCTTTGTTACCCTTGTTACCCCCTTGTTACCCCTTGTTACCCCTTTGTTACCCTTGTTACCCTTGTTACCCCTTGTTACCCTTGTTACCCCCTTGTTACCCTTGTTACCCTTTTGTTACCCTTGTTACCCCTTGTTACCCTTGTTACCCCCTTTGTTACCCCTTGTTACCCCTTTGTTACCCTTGTTACCCTTTGTTACCCTGTTTTGTTACCCCCTTGTTACCCCTTGTTACCCCTTTGTTACCCTTGTTACCCTTTGTTACCCCTTGTTACCCTTTTGTTACCCCTTGTTACCCTTGTTACCCCTTGTTACCCTTTGTTACCCCTTTGTTACCCCTTGTTACCCTTGTTACCCTTTGTTACCCTTTGTTACCCTTTTGTTACCCTTGTTACCCTTTGTTACCCTTGTTACCCTTGTTACCCTTGTTACCCCTTGTTACCCTTTTTTTGTTACCCTTTGTTACCCCTTGTTACCCTTTGTTACCCTTGTTACCCTTTTGTTACCCTTGTTACCCTTGTTACCCCTTTGTTACCCTTTGTTACCCTTTTTGTTACCCTTTGTTACCCCTTGTTACCTTTTTGTTACCCTTTGTTACCCTTTGTTACCCTTTGTTTTTGTTACCCCTTGTTACCCCTTGTTACCCTTTGTTACCCTTTTGTTACCCCTTGTTACCCTTTGTTACCCTTGTTACCCTTTGTTACCCTTTTGTTACCCCTTGTTACCCTTTGTTACCCTTTGTTACCCTTTGTTACCCTTTGTTACCTTTTTGTTACCCCTTGTTACCCTTGTTACCCCTTGTTACCCTTTGTTACCCCTTTGTTACCCTTGTTACCCCTTGTTACCCTTTGTTACCCTTTTTGTTACCCTTGTTACCCCTTGTTACCCTTGTTACCCTTGTTACCTTTTTTTTTACCCCTTTGTTACCCCTTTGTTACCCTTTGTTACCCCTTGTTACCCCTTGTTACCCTTTGTTACCCTTGTTACCCTTTGTTACCCTTTGTTACCCTTTGTTACCTTTTTGTTACCCTTTGTTACCCTTTTGTTACCCTTTGTTACCCTTGTTACCCTTTGTTACCCTTTTGTTACCCTTTGTTACCCTTGTTACCCTTTGTTACCCTTGTTACCCTTTGTTACCCTTGTTTACCCTTGTTACCCTTTGTTACCTTTTGTTACCCTTTTGTTACCTTTTGTTTGTTACCCTTTTGTTACCCTTTGTTACCCTTTGTTACCCCCTTGTTACCCTTTGTTACCCTTTGTTACCCTTTTTGTTACCCTTGTTACCCCTTGTTACCCTTTTGTTACCCTTTGTTACCCTTGTTACCCTTTGTTACCCTTTTGTTACCCCTTGTTACCCCTTTGTTACCCTTTGTTACCCTTTTGTTACCCCTTGTTACCCTTTTGTTACCCTTTGTTACCCTTGTTACCCTTTGTTACCCCTTGTTACCCTTGTTACCCTTTTGTTACCCTTGTTACCCTTTGTTACCCTTTGTTACCCTTTTTTACCCCTTTTGTTACCCTTTTGTTACCCTTGTTACCCCTTTTTGTTACCCTTGTTACCCCTTGTTACCCTTTGTTACCCTTTTGTTACCTTTTGTTACCCTTTTGTTGTGTTGCCTTGTTACCCTTTGTTACCCTTTGTTACCCTTGTTTACCCTTTTGTTACCCTTTTGTTACCCTTTGTTACCCTTGTTACCCTTGTTACCTTTTTGTTACCCTTTTGTTACCCTTTTGTTACCCTTTGTTACCCTTTGTTACCCTTTGTTACCCTTTTGTTACCCTTTGTTACCCTTTGTTACCTTTTGTTACCCTTGTTACCCTTTGTTTACCTTTGTTACCTTGTTTCCCTTTGTTACCCTTGTTTTTTTTTTGTTACCCTTTTTGTTACCCTTTGTTACCTTTTGTTACTTTGTTTTTTGTTACCCTTTGTTACCCTTTTTGTTACCTTTTTGTTACCCTTGTTACCCTTTGTTACCCTTTTGTTACCCTTGTTACCCTTTGTTACCCTTTGTTACCCTTTGTTACCCCCTTGTTACCCTTGTTACCCTTTGTTACCCTTGTTACCCTTTGTTACCCCTTGTTACCCTTTGTTACCCTTTGTTACCCTTGTTACCCCTTTGTTACCCTTGTTACCCTTTGTTACCCTTTTGTTACCCCTTGTTACCCTTTGTTGCCCTTTGTTACCCTTTGTTACCCTTTTGTTACCCCTTGTTACCCTTTGTTACCCCTTGTTACCCTTGTTACCCTTTTTTACCCTTTTTTTGTTACCCTTTGTTACCCTTGTTACCCTTTGTTACCCTTGTTACCCCTTGTTACCCTTTTGTTACCCTTGTTACCCTTGTTACCCTTTGTTTACCCTTGTTACCCCTTGTTACCCTTGTTACCCTTGTTGCCTTGTTACCCTTTTGTTACCCTTTGTTACCCCTTGTTACCCTTGTTACCCTTTGTTACCCCTTGTTACCCTTGTTACCCTTTGTTACCCCTTTGTTACCCCTTGTTACCCTTGTTGCCCTTTGTTGCCCTTTGTTACCCTTGTTACCTTGTTACCCTTTGTTACCCTTTGTTACCCTTTGTTACCCTTTTGTTACCCTTTGTTACCCTTGTTACCCCTTGTTACCCCTTGTTACCCCTTTGTTACCCTTTTACCCTTTGTTACCCCTTGTTACCTTGTTTACCCTTTGTTACCCTTTGTTGTTTGTTACCCTTGTTACCCTTTGTTACCCTTTGTTACCCTTTGTTACCCTTTGTTACCCTTTGTTACCCTTTGTTACCCCTTGTTACCCTTTGTTACCCTTTGTTACCCTTTTACCCTTGTTACCCTTTGTTACCTTTTTTGTTACCCCTTGTTACCCTTGTTACCCCTTTTGTTACCCTTTGTTACCCTTTGTTACCCTTTGTTACCCCTTGTTACCCTTTGTTACCCTTTGTTACCCTTTG